TTTAAACCAAATTTTAAAATCTACTGCTAAAAGAAAGATGCAATCATGAGTCATTTTACTCAAAGAAAACATTGAACCTTCTGGCTGGTTAATAGTCACAGGATGTGGTGATAGCAAGAAGCATGAGTGAGTCAGCTGTCTAACAACAACAACACAGAAAGGTTGGGTGTATTTCATCTTAGGTTTGACACTAAAGTAAGCCTTACGCCTTCTCTCATCACGCTGTCAGGAAACATTTAGTCACTTATATATGAACAGCAACAACGCTCGCATTGTAGCTACGGAAAATAACCTGCTAGACTTCATCTACCCATAAAAACAAAAAGGGCAGAGGTACAGAGACTTTAGACCCTCAGAAAAAGGCAGCAAACCACAGACAGGAAGACTCTAAATGTGATCTCAGGCAAAGGATCCTATAAATAAAACCTGTTAGAGATGTACAACTTGTACTCTTCCACCCCTGAGGGTTCCCCATAGAAACTCCAGCAAAGCTCTTTCAGCCTGAAACACAACAGGGAACTTGTTTGGTTGAAAGCTTACAATGCACTGTAATTTAGTAGGAAAATTACTTTTACACTAAAATTTATAACCATTTTCTGTGACAAGTCAGTTGTAATTGTAAAAATTCCTGCTTAATTACACACCCTTAAACTAAGGAGGTTTTTACTTCTATTTTGTTATCATTCCTTTTAGGTAAACACACAAAAGAGGGCACTTTTTTTTATTCATTGCCCATTTTACACAAATAACATGTGATATGAATTCAATCCCTTTTCAAACCCTTTTTGTTTTGGCAAGACGAACTGTCAAAGAACTATTTGTCCCTTTAAGACAACAAATCTTCTGCAACTGCCTGAAGATTTGACTCTTCTTTGAGTTTGACTGTGCTCATGCTAGCCTGCTTTACAGCTAACAGCTTAAAGGTTAAAAGAAACACGATAACTTAATAATATGTTCTCAATCAGTGGAAATAAAAAATAGTTGAAATATAGACTCCCTTGAAATATTAGATTTAATCAAATATGTTGACTGTTACATTATTTTGGTCTCCATTCTGCCTTTTTGTTTGTTTTGGTCACCGTTCAGTGATGGAAAAAAATAGTCCTTCAGCTCATTATTGTTTTAAATTTTTTAGGGAGTGATTATCATAATTTTTACTGCATCTCAAAGTTTTAATTGTCCTATTAAGAAAAATGATTTTCTTTTAATTTCTCCCATTAAGCCTTATTAATGCCCTTATAAACAAAAAAAGGCCTTGCCTGGAGGATGATGTCTAATGGAAGCAAAGTTTGCAGAAAAACACAGGTGATCCTCTCTGTTTATGCTGTAAATACCCTCTAAGGTTCTTTATGACCACCGACTTTCAATATAACTAACCAAAGAAGAGAATCGTACAGGCACTTGTTAAATAATTTAAAAAAATATATATATATATATATTTTTTTTTTCAGAGCATGCAGCACTGCAAACAGCAGTTTTTTAGGTCCAAAGAGAAGAGGTACAACATTTGTCCAATCAACATACATACCTAAATATTTTTATGATATTTAATCAACTTAAAACAAAGAAAAACTATGTAGAAATAAAAAAAAAAGTTAAATTGTCATTTTTTATGCATTTAAAGATTGGGGGGGAATAAATCACTTATGTTAGTATTTAACCAACAGATATATTGTAGAAAATCCTCTAAAATATATCTAAGAAGGTACAAATTGTTCCTAAATAGGGTAAAAATCAACAGATCACTATTAAGAATTGAAGATGCCATAACTCCTTGCAAATATTGCTTTGACAATATAAGTTGCAATAAATTCACATTCCTTACTCCTGCCTTCCTCACATGTGCATCCAGCAGTCTAAACCCTTTAGCTTCAAGCCTTAATGGTGTCAAGGTCATGGAGAATTTTAATCAGCCATTGATAGAATGATTGCGTCAACGATCTGTCTTAGATATATAGTAAGCCACTCAGGCTACGTTCCCACTGCAGGCCTTGATGCTCAATTAGGATTTTTTTGTGAAATCCGTTTTTTTTTTGCGTTGCTGTTCACATTTCCAAATATATGCGACTTGTATGTGATCTCCTGTGTCATACAACACAAGTGTCCCGCATGCGCAGCAGAGGACGCAATGACGTCACAGGCCAGCTTGCACTGTGTTTACGGAAGTAAACATAAATGTGTCTTCATCTAGCGATCTTTCCCAACCATAAAAACACAATCTTTTCAAGATGATTAAACATTATACTGCTCTCCACAACATCGTCCCCCATGGTTGTTGTTTTTCTTAACGCTTCTTCATAGCAAGACCCAGAATAGTGACCTTTGTCAGGTATTAATAGCGTTTAGGTCGGATGAATGCGACCTGGCCGTTCAGATACGGGTTGCATTTGAGAAGATCAGATTCGTATTGGATTCAGGCAACATAGCCAAGTGGGCTGGGTCGCATTGGAAAAAATCGGATCCGTGTTGTTCAGACAGCCATGAAAAGATCAGATCCAGGTCGCATATATGGGCCAAAAAATCGGATTTGGATCACCTCAGGTTGCAGTGTGAATGTAGCACACTCTCAAAGGGGAAAAAGTCTGGAAGGAAGAGACCAAAACTGCATGAAAAGCATGAAAAGAGCCATTATTTATGTTAAAATGGGAAAGATGGCTGGAAATCACCGATCAGAAATATTTCAAAATAAAACATATTTCAACTACATAGTCTTTATTGCAAACCCTCTGTTCTTTTCATATTTTTCTTAGTTTTTCCTTGAGTTAAAAGAAAACAACTCACTGTTCCAGCCTTTAAACTTCTTTTTTTTTTACTTCTTTTTTATCTTGTCATGCTAACTCAGGGACTGGATATTCCAGCTTCAGCTTTTTGAATAAACCGGTTTTAACTAATTTAACTATTTTGTAAATTGAAGTAAAAACAACCTGTTAACCCGTTAATCCTGCAGGGTATGTGCAGTCTCCCCCCACCCCTCTGTCCCTACCATGGATGTTCCCAGCCCCCATCCCTGCATGATGCGCCCCTACAGCATGCTTGTTGTTCCCCATCAGCTGTGCGCTTAAGCCCCGCCCTCCACCGTGTTCCGGATGGTAACAGGCCGACCAATCAGAGCGCAGCATGAAGCTGCAGGACAAAAACAAAACAATTCAGCACACGCTTTCACTAAACCTTTACTGTAGGATAAAACTAACTTTAGCTGATTATTCAGGAAAACTGTTAACATGAAACGATATAATAGAAAGATTTTAGTCGATTAAAACCACGATAATAAGAACCAATAGAGAAGGCATAAAAAATACATTTATATTAAAAAGATATTAATGCTCCATCCTGCTTTATTACGCACAGTTTGGGCTTTTATTTTGGAAGATGTACTTTTATTTTTCATTTACTCAAAGTAAACACGTTAAAGAGCGCCATTGAATAATAATTTCTAACAAGATTTAATAAAAAGGCCTCATATGAATTTAATTACTCTTTGTTTTAGTCAGACAGATAGTCAAAGCAGTGATAATTTGATTCTATAAGACCATAAATCACCTGCAGCTGCCTGAAGGTTTGACTTTTCATCGAGTTTAATTGTTCTCTTCTCACTGTAGCCTGATTTATAGCTAACTGCTGCGGTGAAAACGTTAAAAAAAATGTGACTAAACAATAGTGTTTTCCCGAAGAAGTGGTTCTAAAAAGTAGATAATACATATTTCGTACTTTATAGCCTGTTGTCAGTGAGTGGGAATAAAAAATTGTTAGTTAAAATATTGACTTGGTTCCTTATAGAGCTGAGGCTAACAGTGTTTGAAGCTAACACAAACGATGAAGTTCGCATGAGATTGGTAGCATATGATTTAGCAGCACAATTAAGTGACTGTTCCAGTTGTCCACAGTGGGGAAATTCGGGTGTTTACAGCAGCAAAATGATTATAGAAAAAAATTGTCACACAAATGTCGACCTTAGAAAAGGTGTATAAGAATAACATAATATAATATCATAACATAATAGTTATGAGTTAAAAAATAAACAAATGTTATACTGTATTGTAAAGTGTTTTCACCATATAAATACTGTGCACCTGGAGAATAAATAACCAAAATACACATCACTTTAAATAAATGCTCTTAAAACAGATCAAACCAAGACAGAATTACTTTACATGATAAAAAAAAAAAATCATCTAAACAAAATTGATGTTTTTGGTTTGTTTTTTGCCATCAACCAAACCTAAAATGTAATCATACTGAAAAACCTGAACTTAAACTCTGGATGACTTGACCTGGAGCAGTCTTGCTAAGTTCAGTCCTAACGAGCTACAATCCTACAACTTTTAGATGCATTATTTATACAAAATACTCTACCCAAATGGCTAAATTGATTTATTTGCATGATCTGGCTTGTTCAAGAGATTGATTCATGTTTGAACTTAGAGAACTATAGCTCTCTATACATTATTTACAAAACAGCTTGTGATTTGTGCAACCAATGTTCTATAGGGAGAAATAAACAGGTTTATAGTTGACATATAAATGTTGTTTTAGAAACCATTTCCATTTTAGATGGGGAACTGTTTGAAAACCCACAGTTCTTAAACAGACCTGGGATAGAAATGTTTGCTATCAACAGGAATGCAGAATCAGAGGTACCAATCGGAGGCCAACTTCAAAGTTGTAGGCTAACAGAGTTAACTGCCATCGTTGTATTGCGACAGTTTCCGTTGCTAATTCACGATGGAAACAAACAGAACGACCACAGCTAATGTTATAATCATCAACATGGCACATTATGTCAAATAAAGCTCTATACAAACGGCGCACTCGCCTGCTGTGATAATTAGCTAAACGTTAGACACAAAACCTTGCCACGAACGGCAAAGTAAAACACTATAAAACAACACATAGCAGCCATCCGAGACAAAAATGGAAATAAGCAAAACATTAAAACAGCTGACAATCGTCACTAACAGACATGTTGGGTTCATTTGACCATATTCGGTTGAAAAGGATACAGTTTTACCACGTCGGTGTCCATTCGCCTCTTGCCTGGACTTGGAGACGACATTTTTTGTGTACCTCAAAGAAGAGATCTAAAAATACTACTGCGGATCTGAGACTACCTTAACCTTTCAGCTTGACAGCACCTACAAGGCCACCGGACTGTTAGCAGCAGCCTGCCTGCAGTGTCCATAAACAGGATCCTAAATGCAACATCCCCTACTTTTTCCCTTTTCTTCCTCTTTGACCAGCTCTACCTAGTTGGGTCCTGTCCTGAACACTCTGCCAGCGACATCAACCTCCAGCCAGCAGCCAAACAGAGCAGAGGAGGAGCTCACACACAGAAATACACTCACAGATCGCACACACGCTTTTAGTAAACTGCTTATAACCCACAGAAGCCACCATCCAGCCTCCTTTTCTGCACTGACTGGGATCAAACTGCGTAAAAGTTACATTTAGTTTGTTTGTTGAAAAGTGGGTCAGGCTGACGCTCAAACACAAAGTGCGTGCTGTTCTATCAGATCTAGATCTTTGCTCTATGCTCACTGTGAATAAGCACATTAGGCACAAGTTGTGTCACGTGAACAGCATGGATCATAAACATGATGAAATGGTGAATATTTAGGCATTTACAGGTGCAGATAATAAAAGTAGAAAGTCTTAGAAGTTTTTTTTTTTTTCAGAAATTCACTAATAAAGCAGGAAATCTTTTATCTATTTATTTAGTTTCATTATGGCAAAAAACTAATTCAATTCAGTTTCTTTATATTGCGTCAATTCACAACACATGCCATCTCAAGGCACTTTACAGTTCACCTGATCATACTGTCAAACTGATTCAAAGTTTCTATCTAAGGAAAACCAGTTGATTGTATCGACTCATTGACTCGAATGTAATCCCTCACATTAAGTATGCTTGTAGCGACAGCGGAGAGGAAAAACTCCCTTTTGACAGGAAGAAACCTCCAGCAGAACCAGGCTCAGTGTGAGAGGCCATCTGCTGAGGCCGACTGGGGTTTAGGGAGACAGAAGCAGAGATACAAAAAGCAAATATCCAGGAAACACTCTGGGCCAACTCTAATGTCAGAGGATGAAGAGAGCACATCCAGCCAGTCACAGTCAGAGAAACAGGACTAAACTGGAAAAACAGGCCAATCTCAAACATCTATAAACAAAGGTGTCGATGGCATCAGCACAGCTGATATTTCTCGCCAGGGTGGTGTGACAGCCAAACAGGAACAGACGAACCAAAGCTACTATGAGAAAAAGCATAGAGAGCAATATGCAGAATAATAAACACAGAAGGTTCTCAGAAAATTTTAATATTCACCAAGATCAAAAAATACAAAACATATACTTTTTGTAAATTCTCAACAATTATAGGAAAGACTGCTGGCTCATGAGTCTTTCATAGGAGTCATCTACATCACTCTTCATGGGTAAACCTCATTCCTAAAGATTTAACATGCATTTTCACTTTTTTTTTTAACAAAATAAAAGATATAATGTTGCATTTACTCACATCTATGAAAACATCTGCTCCTCTTAACAAAATACAAATAGGCAAGAGAATATCAAAACAAAGATTTAAAACATTTCAGCTCTCATATTGGGGCACTCATAGACAGAACAATTGAACCCCCATTAAGGCTAATTTAGCCGTAAACTGGTTCCCATGTGGATCAGTGATGGGTTTGTACATGACAGCATATGCAATTTGCTGGCAACAGAGCCCGTACGTCAAGGCATAATAAGTCAAATGATCTGTTACAGCCACTGTTCAAAGCATGTGACTGTCAGTCTAAACAGTTAGTGAAGGTTTGAAGACAAGAAGGTGCTTTCTACATGAACCGTTAAGCATTACTAGTACTTTACAGACTTTATTAGGAGTGTTATTTAGAGCTTGCAACAGACAGGGTAGTCGGAGTCTGTGCATTTGCACAACAGATGTCAGAGGTCATCAAGAAATGCTCATCCAGGAGGATTGAATCCTGCAAAGTCATCAACTCTTTACAATCAGCTAGTTTTCCTTGGATAGATATGTATGATTTTATTAAATTCTCTTTGTAAAGTACATGAAATATGTTGTGAATTTGCTCTTAATACATCAAATTAATTAAATTAAAAAGAGTGCAGTGGAAATTTCTGATACAACATCAAAAACAAGCTATTTTTGGAATTAGGAGAAAACATTGTGACATGCTACAACAACTTTAGTCAAGTATGTTTTATGATGACTAGATAATTTCAGTCTTAACTGAACACAGAGGAAGTTACTTTACTGGATGGAATACATGTAGGAAGAGCCAACTTCGGAACGGGTCGATTTTTAAGCCATTCGGTGCATTTTTTCGTTGATTTGTGTTATATCACATTTAATTTTTCTGTGTTACACATCTAACATATTATTTGTCTGATATGAGTTGATAATGTAGGTCACATAATATTTACTCTCTATGTTTACCAGAATTCCTAACAAAAACAGCAGAGAAGATAATTTAATAACAAGAAATTCCCTCCATAAAAGACATTTCATCCCAGCGCTGCATGTCCCAAGGACGTAACATCATCAATGACCCGTCACACCCCCACCATGGACTTTTCTTCCTGCTGCCCTCTGGGAAGAGTCTTCGCAGCATTTGATGCAGATTCAGTAACAGCTTCTTCCCCACTGCCATCAGACTACTGAACTGTTGAAAAAACTCTAAATCATGTCCCATACTGTCCATCAAACTCATAAAACCAAACCAAAATACTGCATATTTGCACTATATATATTAATGCTCTGAATTTTCATATCAATTTGTTTTTTTGCACCATGTTTTTTTTTGTCCCACACTGTTTACATTTTATCGCTGCTGCACTTTAAGGAATGGAAATGTCATGAGAGCTGTACAAAACGAAATTTTACACTCTGTGTATACAAAATGACAATTAAAGTTGTTTCAGTCTAAGTTCTCGTTCTCACCACCGAAGGAAAGAAAAAAAAATTTTGGAAATCTTGAAGCAGGAATAAAAAAACCTGTAACTTGACTCCATGTAATTAAGATCACTTATGAGTACTTAGCTAAAAATTGTGAGGTCACTTCATGCTGTTGTATGCTTTATTTTTTTGTTTGTTTGTTTGTTTTTTTAAAGGCAAAGTATGACAATTTTAACATACTGGAAGAACACATTTAATCTTTGATTAAAGAGATTAGACCAACCAGATTATCCTTCTTTCTGGATCTACTGCATGTTACTGTGTTTTCACTGAGTGGTTTTAATCTAATCAAGTAACTGGTGCATTTCAGTATGTTACAATTAGTAAACCCTGAGAAAAATGTGTTGCTGTGATTGATTTTAATTTACATAACCTAATTTTCAAACTTGATGAAGATTAGATACTAAAGCTTTTCAAGTGGTAGGGCTGCTTGTCCTGTTTATACCCTTAACTCCTGTAATCTATCTAAAAAAAAAAGCAAGATCAGGGGTAAGATTGATGCTTGGTATTTAACCACTTTATTGACTCAAAGATCATGCTTTTAAGTAGCTCATGACGTTTTCTCTCTGCTTAAAAATAAGGCTGACAGTCGGCACTATTTGCTTTTAGTTTCCGCACCAGGACAAAATTAGGCTCAGTATAAAGTTAAACTAATAGAATAAAGATTATGAAGAGTTATAATCGAAATCTACGGAAGAGGATTAGGGCCACTGAAAAACAAAAAAAGCTAACTGATTTTTAAATTTTATTTCAGTATAATATGAGAAAAAAGTCAGAATTCTGATTTTAATTTCAGAATTCAGACTTATTTTTCTAAGAATTCTGACTTTAATTTCAGAATTCTGACTTTTTTCTCAGAATTATAACTTTAATCTCACGATTCTGACTTTTTTCTCAGAATTCTGACTTTAATCTCAGAATTCTAGATCTTAATGTATATGGGCACCATGACGGAAGAGATGTCGGAGCACTCAGCTTCACTGACAAATATTTGAGTTGTTTGTGAGGGCCAGTAACACATTGGTGGAAAATTACAGAAGTAGGCGACTTTTTACGTGACACAGGGATCCCCGGTGATGTTATTTCTTTAATGGAAGAGCAGAAGGTGATTAAAACAAGAGAGCTAGTTTAGTCTTTAAAATAGACATGACTACGGCTTGATGCTAACATGTTTATTAGCTGTCAGAAATTAGTCAGAATTCTGAGATTAAATTGTGAATTCTGAGAAAAAAGACAGAATTCTGAGATTAAAGTCAAAGTTGTTTTTACTAAAATTATATTTAAAAATCTGTTAACTTTTTTTTTTTTTTTTTTATTCAGTGGCCCTAATCCTCTTCCGTACAAAACAGACTGGAAACATATGGGTTGTTTTTTTACAGGAATTTTAAATATCATATTTTTGTTTCAAATGGCGAACTTGCTCGAAAAAAAAAAAAAACTTTATTCTGAGATTAAAGTCAGAATTCCTAGATTAATGTTATAATTCTGAGATCAGAAGTCAGAATTCTAAGATTAAAGTCAGAATTCTGAGGAAAAAAAAGTCACAATTCTGAGATTAAAATCTTTTTTCCCCATTATAAGCTGAAATAACAGTTAAAAATCAGCTAACTTTTTAATATTTTCAGTGGCCCAAATTCACTTCCGTAAAAAACTCATCGCAAATCTAATCAAAATGTGATCATCTGGAACATTAAAGAAGCAATATAAAATAGCTAGGTCTACATTTATTTTTTTAAATGTAACTGTATATTCACCCAGTTTGTTCGGCAAATTATTTTAAATGTTATTAATTTCATATAACCAGGTTCATCACATCGTTTCTTGTGATAAATGTCTTAAATTATAATGATTGGTCTCGTCATACTTTTGCAATACTACGGACTCTTCAAGTCTTGAACGCAGCACGATGACGCATCCTCTTTTGATTGGTCAATTCAGACCAGCTGGTTAGATGTGAGCAGAGTATCTCAGTTTTGCAGGGAAGCTGTAGCTCGCCTCTTGCAGTCTGATGCCCGGGGACGTTTAATCAGAGGGAAAGCGTTTTTGGTCCATTTACAGTTGGAAACTATTTATTTGCGCCTCTCCAGTGAAAATGTCGTCGCTTGAAGCTGGTGGAACATTTACTCACCTCAATACGTTCGAAAAACTATCGTGGAGGCCGTCTATCCGCGATTCAGGTTTGTAAACAAAACCATCTGCTAAGAAGAGTGCAACATATTGCACACACAGCAAAGCAAATGGAAACTGTTTAAATATTTTTAGCATGAACAGCAATTGTTAGGCAAAGGACGATTAGTTAATGTGAACTTTCTTTGTTCCTAACTCCGTTAGCTATAGCTACTTCAGGCTAAAGTTAGCTTCCGTTGCTACGGAAGCCCGGCAGCAGGTTTTGATCATTGTTTTTGTTGCTATAATCTCTCTGCAAATTGACCTGAACATGTGGCAGTACAATGAAAAAAATTTGGGCGGACCAGATCAGACCAAAGCTGTAAACAAAATGGCGAAGTTTTATCTCTAATTTGATTAATTTTGTCAACTTCTATAACCACAGCATTGTTTGGTTTCTGCTCTCCCAAACATTAAAAGGGCTGTTATCTGTGAAAGGTCTACAGCACCATAGTGTTTCACTTAAAAAAAAAAAAAAAAAAGCAACAGTACAATTGTTTTTTACAGTTAAGCTGTTGAATCTATATATAATGAAGATTTTATCATTTCGTATTATTTATTTTTAAAACCTCATGTGCCTGGTATCTATTTTATTTCCCTTTATTGCACAAACACAGTTTTCTGTACAGCCTCTTGCAGAACTGTGCATTATTCTTGCACTTGTTTCATATTTTCAACTGCATTTGTCAACAGCTTTATTCTGAGATCATCCGATTAAGAAAGAATGCACCTTTTTGATCTCAGTATAAATCCAGCTGGTATGTTAAGGCCTCAAAGGTTTATTAGAGAATAAACGGCATCAGAAAGAGCAGGGGACAGTTTGGGGATAAAAGCATTGCCAAAGATAAAACCTGGGTTAAACTTTTAAATATCACAAGCTATAAAGTTTCACATTATTCAGAGTTGGCTTAGAATTGAATGAACATGTCAGAGCTAGTTAGGAATTTCAAAATGACTTTAGGCAATAGATTGTAGAGCTCTAAGTGCCTTTCATCAGAGCCATGTAAAGATGCTTACTCACCTTCAAAGAAAACATTTATTGAAACTTTTCAACAGTTAATAAATAAAAGGCTACTTTTAGGAGTGTATGGAGTTGACAATCCTCATTCTGTTGAGTTTATTACTGTCTGAATAAAGAAAATAAATAACGGGGCGAAGAGATTAAGCCAAGATGCAGTTTGCAAAAATGTAGTAGTGGGTTCTCTGCTCTGATAAGTCTAAAGCAAAGTTTTTTGCTCTACATGCAAAGCACTGCATGGAGGAAAACAAAGAATACCCATCATCCTGCAGGCATCACATTTACAATGAGTTTTCTTTTGCCAGAAATGATCTGGCGAGCGAAACCAGTCAGACTCAGCTCTTTAAATGTTTTTTCAGAGTAAAATTGATTAAAAAAATATTTATCTTCACATACAAAGTAGTTAATGCAGTAACTTAGGTGGTGTTCTGCTGTAATGATAACAAAAAACAGCTTTGTATTGAGTCAGTATGGCTACATAACAAGGCACAATATACTTTGTTTTATTTTTAAACAAGACTGAAAACAATTAATAACTTTCATTTCACATTTATGTGCTACTCTTTGTTGGTCTGCTAAATAAGATATAAACAAATGACTGTAATGTCCAATAAGTGAAAATGTATAACTACAAATGGGTTATTATTACTATCACATTTTATAGTTCGTATAGTGCTGAGGTGAGGTGACTTTGTTTTTGTATCTTCAGGCTCCAAGAAGCGAGCGCGATGGCTTCAGGCGAGACGCATCTTCTCCCCCAACGGCCCCAACCTCCGGATCCCCAATAGGTTCCTGAGAGAAGGTACTGACATTTGAGGAAAAGCAAATCGATGAGAGGATAAAATGTTTTTAGTAGGAAGTGAGAGAGATTCTGTGGTTGGTTTAGATTTGAATTTTTCCTGCAGGACACTGCATACCGCCTGCCCGCAGTGGACACCGCTGTGTTGCAGACAGCTCTAACCTGTACGTCTTTGGAGGTTACAACCCTGACTTTGAGGAGGCGGGCGGCTCAGAGAATGAGGACTACCCTCTTTTCAGGGAGCTCTGGCGGTTTCATTTTGCCACAGCTACCTGGCAGCAGGTTCGGACTGAGGGCTACATGCCCACAGAGCTGGCGTCTATGTCAGGTAATGACTGATGCTGAGCAGCGAAGGTGGGATTTAAGGGTGTCCTAGTGTGGGTACAAATATAAAGTGTAAATATCCTGCTTCTTGTTCTTAAACAATAAAATACAGTAGAAAATGGATTTCTGTAATCTGCTGATTATTATTATTATTTTTTTTGGTTTATGAACCCTACCTACAGACAAACCAAAAATCTAAGTGGATGTCTGCAGCCACATTCATCTGCAGATTTACCCAAACAAGTTGTTCATCCTCTTGAGATTTCAGTTTAACTGTTCTCTTTAACGGCTTAACTTCCTCTTTTTATGACTAAAATGTTGGTTTCCATGTCTGCAAACTACTCTTGTCTCCAATCAGATTTTATAGACATTGATGCCTAATAAATAGTTCTTTATTATATTAGGCTAATATTATATATAAAAAAAATGTAAAATAAGTCCCCTAATTGTGTCTCTATGTCTAAATTGTTAAAATTATTTGTCCCCATTTTTATTAAAAAAAATTATTTGATTTACACACGGCACAAATTTTAGCAGAGAAGAAATGGCCGTTGCACTACATTTTAATTTTTTTTATATTTGCTGGTTAAATGTAAACATGAGATCAGGAGCAGAGTGTAAGATGCAAACCCTCAGATAATTTTGTCCTTCCGCTTCACTTAGTCTAAATCAAACTAATGTCTCTCAGCTGTCTTCCATGGAAACAACTTGCTTGTTTTTGGTGGCACCGGGATTCCCTTTGGTGAAAACAACAGTAATGACGTCCATGTCTGCAACGTCCAATATAGACGGTGGAACCTGCTGAACTGCAAAGGGAAGAAACCGAATAAGGTGTACGGACAGGTAACGTTTCTGTGCATAGACCATAAATTATCACGGGCTGTTTGTTGCGTTTTACTTTGCCAAACACGCGTCTGGGTTCTCCATTTCCAGGCAATGGTCATTATAAACGGCTACCTGTACGTGTTTGGAGGCACAACCGGCTACCTCTACAGCACTGACCTGCACAGGCTGGATTTGAGCACCAGGGAGTGGACCCACCTCAAACCCAAAAACGCTCCGTTAGATCTTCCTGAGGAGAGGTCAGTCTGATCAGAAAGACCACTGACACAACTGCAACTCAGCCTCTGTCACTTCTTGCCTTCATGTCCAGATTATTGCTGCAACTAAAGACTGATAAAGTTCTGTTTGGGTTTATTTCTGCAGGTACAGACACGAGCTGGCGCATGATGAACAAAAAATATACATTTTGGGAGGCGGGACCTCCTGGATGTCTTATCCCTTAGATAAAGTAAGAAATACGAGATCAGTAAGACTTTTAAATACAGCTGATAGCAGAAACTTACTTACTGTATATAATGAGATAACCTTGTTTAACTCCAGATTGTTTGAAATTTATTTAAATGACAGTTTTCCTATTTTAGTGTCTCAATTTAAGCTCTGCCCTTATGTGTTCTGGCTTGAGATCAGCGTTTTGTCAAGGACTCCCCAAAGTATTGATTTTGATGTCCTTAGAAAATATTATATAACTGGCCTTTCAGCCCATGCCTATCCAGTGTTCTGGCATTTAGCAAATAATTATAGTAACTCTAACAGGGCTGGACGATATGGTCAAAATTTATATTGCAATATGTTTCTTTAATAAATGCATTATAAAACGGATATAAACAAAAGACGGCCTAGTGGTTAGGGCATTGCTCTAGGAATCCAGAGGTTTTGATTTCAAGTCCCACTCCCATGGACTGACACTCTAGGTCCCTGAGCAAGACCCTTAACCCCATCCTGCTCCCTGCGCGTCGCACAATGGCAGCCCACTGCTCCCCAAGGGAATGGGTTAAATGCAGACTTAATTTCGTTGCTCTGTACTTGTGACACTGTAATGAGGAAAAAAAAAAAATATATATATATATAAAATATATATATAAAAAGCTATATATATATAAAAAGCTGAATAATGCCCACAGCAGATTCCTAGACAACTGTTTTGCCATGTTTTTAAAAGTCTCATACAAACCTTTAAAGTATTTGCTTTTAAAAATACAAAACAATTAAAACCCAGCTTGCCAGTCATTTAATCTTAGACTGTAATGTATACTGAAATAGGTGAAATGTTTTAAAAAGTCATATCATTCTTATTAACTTAAAATATATTGCAATATATTCTGCTATTAATTCTTGTTTTGTTCTGATTTAAAACAGGAAGCTTAATTTAATGTCAGACAATGAAGTAAAAGGGATTCATTTTAGATCTAAACATCTGGCTTTAACTTTAATTCTGTATTTTATTTCTGGTTTAGATTCATGCATATAATCTGGAGACCAACTACTGGGAAGAAATAGTGACAAAACCCCATGAAAAAATAGGTACGTTCTTCATGTTTTTAAACTAACTGTAGATTTTATGATTCCTTTTATGACTTACAACCTGTCTCTTGTCCACAGGTTATCCTTCCGCTCGCAGATGTCACAGTTGTGTTCAGGTCAAAGACGGTATGCAGATAATCACTAAACCTTCAGCAAAAAAAATGCCTGAATTGCTGAATTGAACCTTTTTGTCTTGACCGTGTTTTTGTTTTGTTTTTATTCAGAAGTGTTTATATGTGGAGGTTATAATGGTGAGCTTATCCTGTCTGACCTTTGGAAGATAAACCTCCAGACCTTTCAGTGGACCAGGCTGCCTGCTGTCATGCCGGAACCGGCCTACTTCCACTGCGCCGCCGTCACTCCGGTCAGTAATTTGGCATTTCAGAAACAAGTGATTGTGTTTTTATATTCACTACGTTCTTATCAATCAGTTTCGTCTGATTTTTGTAAAACCTGATTCAGATTTTGCACTGCTGTGAAATCCTCGCAGAAGGCAACGCTGAGCTTCCACTTTGCAAACACTGTTAGACATCAAGAACTTTATGTAAAAGCATAGAAACATTGTTAAAAACTTTAGCACAGTTACACGTTTTACATTTTGAAAGTGTCTTTAGTATGTTTTGTACCATTAGGGAAGCCACTGGTTTTTGGCTGATCAGAGTGGACCTGCTGATCCCAATTTTAGCAAAAACTGATAATTATTTTCTTTGTTATAATGGACACTATAAGGTCATAATAAACCTTCAACATTCCAATCTTATTTTATTGAAAAACAATGAACAATATCTTAAGTGCACACAATAATATTCTAAAATACAAAGAGAAGGTTTATGGAATGGACAGCGGCTGATATTAGGACCTTTGCAGCGGTAGATAAGATCTGTTTGATGTACATCAGCTGATGCCGATCAATAAATATTACAGAAATTGAGACTGATCAATAGATCGGTGCACACCTGGTATGGAGAGCCATTTTATAAAAATTTTAAAAGTTAAATGCTCTTGTTGAAAGATTATTAATAAATATTCTATGAAATGATAAATGTCATCATGAAGTGAAACTAAATAAAAAAAAAATAGCTTTAAATTTTAAAAATTTGTTTTAATTCATTTCAAGATTTATTTATTTGATAGTTTTATTTTGTAAAGCAATTTTACATATTTCAGTCACTTTTTTTTACCTGTTTTTTTTCTTATTTTAAGCTCTTTTAATTAATGTTCTTATATTCAAATGAGGGGCGCGTGGTTCTATCTGTGCAGCGGTGCTGCTCAAAGGTCAGCGATTCAGAGGAAAACAAGAAGGCCTTTTGTGGAATGCTACTAATCCTCCTAAATTTGAAGAGTATCTTTTTAAATTTTCTTTAAAATTGCCAATAAAGGTCCCAAATTTCCACATCCAGCAGGTCTCAGGACTGACGGAGGAAGAAAGTATGATTAAATAAACACAAACACATTTATGTGCCAAAGAAAAAGTAAATTTTAATTCAAATGACATCTAATTGTGATGCTGTACCCAAGTTGAAAGTCAAACTAAGAGTTTTAACTCCTATGAAAACTAACCGACTGAGGGAGGTTTTGTCTGACAGTCTGACTTGGTGCTAATGACACCACAATCTGTAAAACTGTGGGCAGTGGCCATAGATACTCACCTATAGAGGTTTAATCTACTCTTTGCTGCTCCTTCAGGCTGGCTGCATGTATGTCCACGGCGGGGTCATCAACATGTCTGGAAACCGAAGAACTGCCTCTCTGTACAAAGTGTGGCTGGTGGTGCCCAGCCTGCTGGAAATGACCTGGGAGAAACTGTTGAAAACGTTCCCTCATGTAACACAGCTGTCCACCCTTCAGCTGCTGAGCCTGGGACTGACACATTCACTAATTCAGAGGCTCAAATAGACTGAATAAAGAAGCTCACTGATGATCACCAGCACTAAAGTTGGTGGTAAGTAGGTCAAAGACAAGCTCCTGTAATGTCAGACTTTGGGGAAAAGAATTTTTTTTTTTTAAACAACACTTGATTTTTTGTTGTTGTTAGAAATTCAAATGTTAGTCAGAGACATCGAAGGGGTGCAGATTGTAACCTCTATGCACATGTAAAACCTGACTTGTAATGTAAAGCCTTTGTGCACGTTTCCTTTGTCCCAGAAACTTGTAGAGCATGAGGGTTGATTTCAACAACAAAAAAAGAAAACTAAAGCAAGTAAAGACAAAGTGAATGTGAATGCAGGTTGTGTAATGATGATATTTCCCTGATTACTTGGTACCACACTGAGGCCTGCTGCAGTGTTGAATCCCCTGAGATTTCCATTTTTCATCAGATGACATCTGTAGCTGATTTGGGCTTCACTAAATATAAAGGAGAGGCGGATATCTGAAATTTCTTCAGATCTTTCTGGGGCCATGATGTGCAGTTTTACTGTTGAGCTGTTCATTCTTTGAAAAAAAAAAAAAGGTCCGTTCATTGATCACATTCGGCCTCTGATCTGATTGCCTCTTTTTAAAGGCTCACTGTGAAACATCTGGTGCCTCTATGTTTTTACCTTCATGGTTCCTACACATCATTTCATGCTTAGATTTGCAGATTGTTCGGGCAGTTCTAAATTAATAGGAATTTGAGTGGGAAAACTTTTCTGGACGATTAGAAACAAAAGAAAGCTGAATAACACTTCTCATTTGGCAGTGTGTTAGGGCTATTCCATTCTATTATTGGCATCTAGACTAATTCAGATCAGCTCTTAGGACCAAATACCAATTCTTAAAAGCACAATTTAGTTAGATTTTAATCTGCTCCAATACTTTATTTGCTAATATCTGAACCAGACCTTGTTTAAAAATAAGGTTTAGTTTTTTTTTTATAACAAAAGCAGTGAAACTGTTCCCGTATTTTGTTTCTTTAAAAGGATGCTGGTTTTCAGTGTTAAATTCAGTTCGCGACGGGCAAATTTCAGCAAAAAAGATTTAAAAATAATCAGCTTTTTTAGTTAGCATATTTTTTTTTTGAAACAACAAAGCAAATAATTTTCCAGACTCAACTGATTGTTTTTCAAACTTTTCCAGACCTGGAAAATTATCCCCTTACTTTATCGTGTTGAAAATTTATTTATTATGAATTTACACATGATGCTCCACAAGTTATGAATTATTTTCCTTCATCCATTTGTTGCCTTTGATGGCAGATTATTCAAACTTTTCGTTTTGGAAAGGATATTTATATATTTTATTTTTTGAACCATGGTGGCAGCGCTCTACACTTGAGCCTTTCGATGTTCCTGATTCGTCACTCCAATAGACTGACTGTACATATACTTTTTTATTATTTATTTGAACACAGTGCTGCTCATTTTAACATTTTAAACATTTCCTGTATCAGATGCAGATGTTTTTATGATCCTGTGCTCAGCTTTTACATTTTAACATACTGTTAGTTTTCGGGAGGGGGGCCTTGGTAGTTTGTGTTATTTTGCAGAATGAGTCCTCGTCAAAGTGTGTGAAATATACTCAGGACATTGAAAACTGTGACAGGAGTGCTCTGCAGACAAACCAAATGTAGGAAACCCTGCAGTTATTCTGGAGATGTGTGCTGATGCTTCCTAACAGGCCTTTAACCTGTTGATTAAAAAAAAAAAATAAAATCTGTTTCACAGCTGTTCCTGTTGTAATATGATGCTTTTGGATTGTTTCCCTTTTCCTTACTTAATTTTGGCAATTTGTGGCCTTAATATGCTTTATTTTTCAAAGCAGCATGCTCCGTAAATGTATTGACCAGTTTGTTTGCATTTTTTGTGCTAAAAAAGATCTCCTGCATGTCGATATGATGTGCATGTGGCTTTGTATAAATGATTTTGGGGGAGAGGTGAACGTAAATATGGCTTTGTTGTTTCGTAGCTGTTATTCTTTGGTCTGTGCAAACAATAAAAACAGGCAGCTGTTTTGTTTGTTCTTTTAAAAATCATGTGTGGCATGATCTGACATTTGGTAAATGGAATTACAGTGGGACACTGGTTCAGCTTAAACTGGAATACCATTAAAGCTGTTTTAGTGATTCAACTGAAATCCACTTAGACTGAGAAATTTCACGATGTGACTCTTAAATGTGACAATTTCCCAAAACTACTGAAAGCTTTTTCTGGGAGGGAAAATCTATTTGTTTCATAATCATCAAAATGAGTGGAGAGAAACTCATAAGGATAAGTAACTGACTACTGAAATTAACTTGGTTTTCTAATTTATTAAGATGCACCTTAACAAAAACTCACAATCCCATCTTGAAATGTTTTTTTTTTTTTTTTATTGTATATTTTCAATGTTTAAAAATACACCTTTTTTATTTCTTCACAGTTTCATAAGAAAACCCTTCATGAGAATAAAGCAACTCTGTTAAATATGTATATTAGGGGAGTGTCGGTCTAGTGGTTAGAGCAGTGCGCTTGTACTCTGAAAAGGTTGCAAGTACCCAGTTTGATCCCCACAGCCTCCACTCTGAGTTCCTGAGCAAAACCATTAACCCCACACTGCTCCCCAGGCACCACACAATGGCAGCCCACTGCTCCCCGCAGGGGATGGGTCACAATGCAGAGAACAAATTCCCCATTGTGGGACAATAAAGGGATTAACATTTTCTTTACATGTCTTTCAGCAGAGTCATAATTAAGACTGCAGATGAAAGTAGCTACCGCAGTTGACTTTTCTGTTGCCTTAAAGAAAATAAAGATTTCACTCCTTAGCAACTGAGCTAATCCATCAGTAACAGTTTTTTGCTCATTTTGTCCACAATGGTTTAAAAATAATTTGAAGTGAAACGGAGTTCCGCTTTCAGCAGACAGCTGGAGACGGAGCGAAGTAATACGAAGCCAGGAGGATGAGGTAGACGACCACTAGAGCTGTACCTGAAGAAACACAATAATAAAAAAAAATAACTCAATGATTGCACTCTTCTCGCTAGACTGGATCACAGTTTGAAGATTTATAGGCACGCCATGTAACTTTTGGCCACTAGGGGCGCCAAACTTGTAACTGCCTGTATTTTGGTTCTACTAAACATTGAAAATAAAAACAATATATGACCGTGTAATTGAACTAAAGTGTTAACTTACCAGTCTAATAATAAAGTTGAGAAAATAAAATCTGTTTTACATCAGACTTCTTCTTCTGCACCAACGAATAAACTCCTTTCCTAGATCGACTTGTTTTTCCTCACACACAATCTCTTCCATCCCTTTCACATTTTCTCTTTTTAACTTTTTCCTTGCCTCAGCCATGACCAGTAATTGAGCAGGTGAAAAAATAGAGAAAAAGCCTTAGCTCCATGACTATAAGAGCCTGCAGCCATATGTTCTTCCAGGTCACATGACCTGGCCAATGACGGTGCGTCTTCTCCCAACTCACATAGTTGTTTTTTATAAGAGGGGAGTCCCGCTCGTAGCATTGATAGTATCAGGCCCTGTATATTGGCCTGAGGAATCGAATAACTCATGCATCAACCATTTAAGTCACAAAGTCCGTGGTGTGCCTTTAAAAAAAGAAACATAATACTTCTATATCAGAATATCTGTTGTTTCCCTGTAGGTATGCATATTTTCATACCCAAACACATAGCTGAATATTTAGCAAGTAATGTAACAGTCTACAGCAAAACTGCCCCTGAAAAAGGGAGGACCACCAGCTTTCACTAAGTTCAAGTTTCCCATTCAATGAAGAAAAGTGGAAACTAAAAACATACTTTAAATAACATGCAAGTCTGAATAATTTTCATAAATGGGATTTTTGGATCAGCTGCATGGGGGTTGTCCCGAAATATTAAGTCCAACATTTAAGGACTTATTCTGAAATATGGATGTCTTATTCCAGAATGTCATCAACTCTTAGTATCTTTTTTAAAAAGATTGAATTGCTTTAGACTTACCCTGAAAATAATCTGACTTGCCGTCCATAAAAATGTAGTTCACTAAAATGACGCTGAAGATGCTGGCCCACATGTGCTGGTCGCTAAAGAGCAGCACAAACCCCACATCCTGTTTAAAAAAAAGAAAAAAAATAGGTTCTTATCATGCAAAATGTCAATCATCAAACATTTTCTTTCATATATTAACTAAGGAGAGTGAGAGGATTTTCTTACACAGAAGGCATTAAAAAAGACCAGTATTGGAATCTGTAGCATGCAGACTTGCACAGCTATGCAGCTTCCAACCTCTAAACTGGGGGAATGAAGAAAAGCTAATTTCAGAGACAGAAATCTGTGTTTAACTTCTCATCTCTAGTAGGACTGTGGTTACCTTAAGCTGATGTTGTTTTGGAGTGCAAACTGGATCCCGTTAACAATCTCTGGGATCTCGGGGACCATTGCCAGAACCGTCACCCCAATGAAGTACTGGGGGAAGGAAGATGTAGAAAGGGTAAACAAAGCAACAGGAATGAGTTGGATGTTCAGAGAGACGCACCAACCTGAGAGATGTTGGGCTGGTTAAGAATGGGCTGGATGTGCTCAGTGGCGAGGTCGGCACAGGCAGACATGAGGACGGTGGCCACGATGAGGATAAGAAGAGACCTCCACCGTGACCAGTGTACAACCGTCCCATGGTGGCCGGTTTCTGCACACAGGCAGAAATCAAGGAGTAAATATGACAGGTGAGATCATCAGGCTTTAATGGCAAACTAATAAAAGCTCATGCCAGACTAATTATTGATCTGATTTTTTTTTTTTAACAATTTTTTTGTCCAGGTAGTAATGATTATATGACTGAGTACTGTTGTGGTCAGGATCTTACAGAAACTTTGTTACCTTTTTATATCCTTCCCCATGACATTTATTGGAGGAGCGGCTTGGTAACACTAAAACGTCCAAGGAAAAACTCCAGAACACGCTCCAAACCAGCGTCACCGTCCCCAAGGAGGTGAGTTTACCATCACCACAGACTGAAGGTAGGTCGAATCTAACCAGCATAAAATTTGACTAATATTTCAAGGTGCAAACTTAGAATGGCTGTATTTCTGTCAAGCACAGAGGTGGGAGGGCTATGCACCGAGTAAACTGGGCAGGATATGAAGTAATGAGGACCTACTCCAAATTCAGCCAGGCAGCTGCAACTTGGAGACAGGACCTCCAGTCATTCCCTCCAGTGATTCCCACCATTCCCACAGCAGTCTCACATCACAGTTACAAACATTCTTTCTAAAGTTCCTCCTCTGACATGGGAGTTGGCTCAGAGCTTGTCTGCCTGGCTTTGTGTTTCCTGGACCAGTCCACTTTCACAGCTGCTTTTTGTGTCTCTGCTTCTGACTCCTTGAACCCCAGTCGGCCTCGGCAGATGGCCGCTCACACTGAGCCTGGTTCTGCTGGAGGTTTCTTCCTGTTAAAAGGGAGTTTTTCCTCTCCACTGTCGCTACAAGCATGCTTAGTGTGAGGGATTGCATTCAAGTCAATGAGTTGATGCATCAACTGGTTTTCCTTAGATAGAAAACTTTGAATCAGTCTGACTGTATGATCTGGTGAACTGTAAAGTGCCTTGAGATAACGTGTTGTGAATTGGCACAATAAAAATAAACTGAATTGAATTAAATCCTGGTAGAAATGTGCTTAAAATCTGCTGTTTTGAAACATTACTGAAGCTGCGTTTATTCAGAATTTTTAACCTGAACAGTCACCATGAAACTACTGTTCAGTGGGAGTGATGCTTGAACCTCACCCTGTCCTCCTCCGACATGGATGTCGTAAATGTGTGAGTGTGTCTTCAGGGTAAATATCAGTCCAATGATGTAGGCAGCAGGCAGGAAGACTGACACCGTGTAGATCAGAGGCCTAACAGAACACACTCAGTCAAATACAAAGGCTCAGTTTAACACAGGGTTACTATGATGTCTAAAACATGTGAAATTTAATTTCTATACTTGTAAGGTTTGGATATCTTTCCCAAAAGTCTGGTAATCTAGAATTTTTCCAAATGTTATTCACCTATCTAATGTTGCGTTCTTTCTATTTCTTTCTTGGACATCCCTTTCTTTCGTGTTATTTGTTGTTTTCTTTCCTTTCTTCTGGCTTAAATAGCCCGCCATATGCCTTTGTCTAATTCCTGTGTCCTTTTTTTCTGTCTTCCTTTTCGCCTATCCTTACTTTACTCTTTCCGGGTTTTTTTTTCTTGCCATCTCCTTTCTTCCTTTTCATTACCTTTTTTTTTTATTTCCTTCCTTGTGTCCTTCCTGCCTTTCTTTTTTCGTTTCCGTCTTCCCTTCCTTGTATCAGTAATTACTGTCCTCCCCCTCCTTGCATACAGTTCTCTTTTTCTAGGTTTTGCTATAATCTCCAAGTGATCTTTAGTGTTTTATAATGAAGATATAGCACAAAGAACTCTGGAATGCTGAGTCTCGAGAAGTCTGGAATTTTATCTGAAAACATAAAAACTGTGAGGATAAAGCAGGACTCACTCAATGTTGTGGTGGAACAGTGTACCATTTTTCTGTAAAAACAAAAGAAGGGTCACTTTTAGGGACAGGGCTGTAAATATGAGCGTAAACACATTAGAGCCCCTGCTATCTAACCAGATCGTAGTGGCAGTTGTGGCACACAAATGGGCCGCTGGCGTTGCTTGTGCTGTTTCCTCCAGTGGCGTTGGTGCAGGCGCTGCACACCAGGTTCCCATAAGCCTTGGAAAACAGTGTGGGTGCAAAAACACCTGTAGGATAAAAAAAAGGTTGTTTACTCAACTATTTGAGACCAAAATATTTAGAAATCCTCGCCACCACACTCTGCTGATCATTACCAGATCTTCCGTCATGTTTAACCTATTGAACATTAACATCCAAATTTCTTGGGGAGCGTCCTAAACAATACTTACTGGTACTGAAATGCCTACCTCCCACAGAAATAAAAAGCAATGCTGAGCTCACTCCTGCAGATCGGCTGTTGAACCTCTGCTCCCTGTGTTTCAGGCCCCCTATTATCATACTGACGCCCTAAAAAAGCAAAAAGCATCTTGGGTTAGTTTATGTTGACTGTTAGTTTTATTTTTTCATTTAAGACATATCTGCAGTTTAATCTCAACAAATCAGAATATGATAGAAAAGTTAGTGTTTCTGTTATTCAATAATATAATATGATATATTGTATAAAAGCAGGTTTTTTTGTTACTGATTTTACATCAAAAGAAAACAGTTTCTCAGAGATCAATAAAAACTTAATTTCTTAATGCAGAAATGTCTGCCTATTGAACAGCTATTTCTATGTAGCTGACAGCTCTGTATGAATTAATGCCTCAATCTTGTGACAGACTTAGACTTTGACAAACTTACGTTTAAAATTACGTTGCTTACAGCTTATAACAGCAGCTTATGCAGCAGTGATCATCATGTAAACAGAGTATGAGAAAAGGAGAACCAGTTTAAAACAGAATGAAGCAAAAGGGCATCAATATGGAAAGGTTCAATGTAGTGCAAAATAAATATGGTGCAAAATGCTCCTAGTTAAAAGGATTATAAAAGTTTCAGCCACATTGGTGGTTCAAAATAATATTACGAGTGTGTTGCAGAATCCAGTTTAGAGCTTAACAGTTCAAAACTCTGATGGCAGTTGGGAGAAAGCTGAATCTGCTGGACCTGCATCGGATGCTGCAAAGCCTCTTCCTAGAGGGCAGTAGGGAGAATGGGTGGGGGCAGGTGGGATCTCCTCATCCTCCGCAGGAAGGGCAAGCGCTTCTGTGCCCTCTTAACCAGCTAGGTGGTGTTCACAGTCCAGGTGAGGTTATCTGTGATGTGCTATTTGGTGCTACTGACCACCTCTACAGCTGAGCTGTTGACAGGACTGCATTGATATCACTGTGGTTCTGCTGAGGTGTGCAGGAAGCCTGATTTCCTTTGACAGTCTTCAGCTTGTCAGTATCTTTGGCTCTGATATCTCTCAGGTAGTCTCGTCCTCGCGACAATACTAACTGATTCTTTGTGAGGCTTAGGTCAGGCATATTCATCGCCCCATCAAGCCCAGCAATAAAATATTCATTAAAGTGGGTGTTGGTCCTTCTGGTAGTGTGGGCGGATGTCACAAATTGTAAAAAAAAAAAAAAAGAATTTCTCCATTAAACGAGATGTAGGATTTTCTATTGCAGCTTTTATCTCTCACGTTTTTTTCTTCCTCTCAACTTTCAGTTATTATACCTACATGGTCCCTTTAGCAATGATAATTTGTTGCTTTACTCTCCCCGTGGAAGGTAGCAGTAACTATAAAAAGCCCCAAGACAAAACTCAATGCATAATTATTTTATATAAAAAGCACAAATTTTCCTATTAAATAAACTAAGTTTAGTGAAATTATAATTTAGAATGATATAAATGTTAGAGCTATAAAATGATAATCTATTTAAACCCATTAAGTTATTATTAAGTAAAATGTGTACATTCAAGTGCATCAATATGCATCTTTTAATGTGCTTTTAATTTAGAATATACCCTAAATAGTGAAAATGTAAAAGGAAAATGAAGAAAAAGTGGTTGTGTGCTCACAGGGATGAATAGGATGCATCCCAGCAGGGTTCCAGTCAGCGCAGCCTTTACCACCTCCTGCAGACAGGGATTGGCTGCCCGGTGGCCTCTGAGCAGAGCTGTGATATAAAAGGTCAGCTCTGTGATGGAGCCGAAGGTGGCGTTGACCACTGCTCCCACAGCAAAGTTACTCTGAGCAGAGATACTGCAGGAAAAGAAGCAAAATCACTATAGTCACATGAGTAGAAAACCTTTTTCTTCTCTACAGGTGTAACAATTTGGTAGTTGTTGTTTTTTACCTTGCAATGCCCATACCAATGTAATAGGAGAGAGGAATGATGGAGCTGATCGCTGTGGCAAACTTCACATCTGAACTGGCAAACTGGTTTCCTTTGTCCACATATCCGATGACCAGAGCAAATATAACTAGAGGTAGGAGGTCTGACATGTGAGTCAAAGATCTTTATAAATCTTGTCATAAAACACAAGCACAGATAGAACACTAGTAAAGGATACTGACTGCAAACACATTGATCCCATCAACAGTGTACTTGTAGTAGTAGCAGTTTGCAGCGTGGTAGCAGCACAGCAGAGCTCTGGTTTCATAGCCTTGATGCTGCAGGTCAGATTAAAAGCACAAAGAAACTAATACATCTCCATAAAACTGGGGGTGGTTGCTCACATCTCTATCTTCAGTGCTTTACCTTCCTGTGAGTGCTGGTGGAGAGTAAGATGTCCTCTGGAGGGAGGAGTAGAATGACGGTCAAAGTCTGAGCGCTCATCTTGGAGACCGGGATGGTGAAGACCAGGATCCAGGAAACGAAGCAGACCAGACAGTGAATGACAGCCAAGGGAGGATAACCCAGCAGCAGCCATACGTAGGTGGAGAGACGGTGCTTGATAACAAGGAGAGCAGTCTAAGTAAATACTATGAAATACAAGCAGCTTAATTTAAAATATACATCTAAACTACTTTGCACACATATTTTAAAATTTCTATGCATGTAGATTTTAATACCATAAAATCCCCATGCTTCTTCTCTGCACTTGTGGCTTATTTTTTATGCAGCTGTAGATTCTCTCCTACTCGTGTTTGGACCCATTTCTTTGCGTTTATGTATGGAGCTAAAGTGGAGCCATAAAAATTTGCCTAAAAGAAAAATAAAATTGAACTATAACAAACTTTATGGCCCTCAATAAAGCTCCATATGAAAATATTTCTATTATATAGCCTATCCATGTACACTATGACTAAAAACTACAAAGTATTTTACTGGAATTGTATGCAAAGTTTTTGAAAATATAATCCGTAGAACCATAAATTGGGCAGCTGATATCTTTGCCTTTGAGATCAAATGGGGCACAACCTGTCCATTGTTTATAGTTTTTTTTTTCTTTTTTATTGACACATTTGAGTAACAGTTTTTATAATTTTTCTGTTTTTATCATATAGAGGATGAGAAAGTAATATCGTCATAAAGAAGTGGTCCAAGACTAATCAGCAGCACAAATCAGTGATCAGTTATACTGATGTCAAAATAATCGGTACTGGCATCAGCCGAAGAAAAATTGTATCGATCAATCTCTTATCCTTACACCTTTCATTTTCAGCTGAAAAAGGAAGCGCTCTCCACAATATTATCTTTCTTTCCTTGGACCTAAACAATCGGAATAAACAGCAGATTGGACTAAAATGAGTCATGCAAACAAGGCAGTCGGAATAATCTGATTAAATTGAAATGGAGCTGAGACGGTTGGTTTATGCTGATTGATAACCCAATGAGCATGCATGTAAACACTGGTTAGGATCAAATTATTCTGAATGAGGCAGACTAAGCTGAGTGTGCATGTCAGGCACATATAAACATGAAATGATGTCTAGTTTAATGGGTTACATGCTATGTTTGACCACTCAAGTAGGATTCCAAATGGCACGCTCACATTAAATATTTTTAGTCCTGCCTTTTTATATCCACAGATCCCAAATACATTTCAATTCGATTGTGAAATTTTTAGCATGTAAACAAAAGTATTGGCTGCACTAGATTCATTGAGGGATCAAACTCAAATGGGATCAACATAGCTGCTAATTAATTTCTGATTCATTTGATGTAAATGAGAAGATCTATGCCCTTCCTTGTGGTGTTTTGTCAGATAAAATCTCAGTAAAATACATAGAATTTAATATTTGTAATATAAAATAAAGAGAAAATGTTAGACGAAGATGCTAAATTATAAAACAGTAATTATTTAATTAACAGCACAATTCAAACTGCGTTCAGCTTCTCAAATGAATATGGTGACACCAGTTCAATTACCTAAACAATTTGGACAGTGTAGGACACCATCAGTCCTCAGAGAAACAATTAGCACTCAAAGCTATATAAGCTGTGTATTTTTCTGTACATATTCCAAAGACTGTGTGATTGTAGGCATGTACCCAATAAGCAGTGCGTAGAGGTGGTTCTGGCATCCCTGGACCTGGTCCCTCTGTGACCGAATGCACCAGAACTGGTGAGCTGTCCTCGGATGTCTCCATGCTGCACTCACAGTCTGGTGCCTCCTCACAACATCTTCTCAAAGTGTTTCCAATCTGGACAAAATCAACCACTTATAAGAGACTTTTCTCCAACATTACCTAACATCTGTAATGCACATCAGGGCACATTATAAAGGCTCAAACAAGGCTACAAAAACAAAGCTGCAGGTGGATGAACTTAAAGCAGATTTAGATTAAAAACCAAATCCAAAGTAGGGCTGGAAAATACAGCCAAAGCTTATAACACAAAGAAACAACACAAAGAAATTTATTTTGCTATGTTAATAAAACTTCTCCAGTTATCATGTTAGAAATAATCCCTTTAAAAGAACATAAAACCAGGAACTTTAATCAGTAATAATACACTACAATTTATATATAGCGTATTAAAATATGGGAAATATCATATCAGGTTTGCTAAACAAAATTATATCGCTATATATACTCATACGCATCGTCTTCCACTTTATCCGGGACTGGGTCATGAAGGCAACAGATTCCCAGACTTCCCTCTTTCCTGAAACCTCACAATTTATATTGACATTATCAATCCTAAGCCTATGCTTTGGCTATCTTACACAGTTCTTACTACCTGAGAAAAGAAAAAAAAACATGACCAGACTCCAAACATACCAGGATAGGGCATTTAGTTAAACTGACAAGCAGTTTAAGGAAAGCATTAGTCAGAGCTGGATGTAACCAAAGGGCTCATGGTCATTCTGGAGGAGCGGCTAATATCAGCAGCCTAGGACGTAGACCTAGGTAACCAAATAAAATTAGGCTTCCACTCCTCAGATCAGGCTTTTATGAACGAGGGGCAAGAAAAAGAGTCTAATTTCATGTTTGCCACACGTCTTGCAAGCAGAGTATGATCTATGGCCGCGGCTTCTTGGCCTTAAAACTGATCAAATCATATCTGAGATCTTCCATACTGCAAGAAAGGCTCAGATAACCTGGGCCTTGTTTCAGGATTGCAAAACTCACAGGTCCTTAGAAGTGGAAGATCTGGTAGCTGAATCTCTTCAATGTCTGCAAGCTCTCTTAAACTGATACCAAACAAAAATCAAGGTTGTTCACAGTTGTTAGAAAATAGTATTTTGATTTGTTTTAGACCTTATTGTGTGTTATTTTTAATTGTTTAGATGTAGTATTTTCCTGATTTAGCCTAATTTATTTCAATATAATTATGCAGATATTGCCTACAATGGTGAATGTCTAGGAAAGTTTTTTTATTTGCAACAAAATATGTTTATATTCTCAGTACTTGCTGTAAATGGTACATAGAGAGCAGCATTAAAAACGAATAATTCTTTATATTTTCATTCCATTTAATGAGTAGGTTATTATGTTCTAAGCTTAAAGTAGAATATAGCATATATAGGGCCTCAGTTATCCATAGTTCGAGCTTTTAGACATGCATGGAGAAAAAAAAAGTCCTGCACAAACAATCCCTCATATCAAACATAAATAAAAGCAAAAATTGAATTAAAATATTTGAAAAATCCCTCCTTTTCCTTCAATTAATCAATGATGTGATGCTCTCTTTAGGTCTATTAGACAAAGTTCTATTAAATAACGTTGATGTTTGTATTTTTAACAAAATAAGAAAACACTCAAGCACTATAAATACATTTGCAAATCACTGTAAATAAGCTGGATATCAGACATAACTTACAACTGGATATTAACAACAAAGAAGTGATAATACCAGACTTCCACACATGTTCTTCTTTAAAAAGCCAAAAATAAGCTCTACCTTTTAAATCTTTGTAAAACGAAGTAAAAGTATTTAGTTTCTTCTGCATTTTCATGGTTTCAAAGAAGAAGTGCAGCTGTAGTTTTCAAACCCTGTGGTTTTAGTTAGGAAAACTGGTTTCTGCTTTCTTCACAACAAGTCAGAGAAATGATGCAGAAAAACATGAGGGGCAAGCTGAACGGGAAAAGACGCTGAGGCCAAGCAATACCTCATGGATTGTGTTTCCAAATGGCCAGAGGAAGTAGCAGCACAACTTCCAGCAAAGCTTCCCTGAAGTAATAGAGAACGAAAAGAGGAAGAATTAGACAGAGAACATATTTCTAATACAATCTCCCAATAAGGTCCCACTTACCGTAGGGTACACCGATAATAGTGACAAACATAAGGAGGCCGACAACAAAATACACCAGAGACACCCACCAACCAAAGAGGAGCACAAACGCAACGTTTCCACAGGTGATGAACTGACCTGGAAACAGTCAAATCAAAAACAAAACTCAAAAAGTTGTTTTTTTTAAGCAGACTTGAAAACAGGGTTTCACAAATCCTCTCTTATAATTAATTACATAAAAACACTTCTTAAGCTGTAACAAAAAATCCTCTTTTTTTATTTGTAAGAACAATGAAAGCAATTCTCCAACAATCTTAAAAAAGCAGCTCAGCAGTAATAACATCGATACATTTGTACCATTACCATATCATCAAAAGGTCAAATTCATTGTAGAATTTCTTAGCTTAGCCAGACTCATGTAGTAATAACACAGAGTGACGTAATTAAAACATTCATTTATGTTTAGCGATGGCTAGCAGCCAGTGAAAATCATAACTTTAATTCCTCTGCAAATAACAGGAGAGAACAGGACAGATTGAAAAGGCTGGCCTACTGGCAGGTATGCTCACATACTGAAGAGTATAAGGGTATGAGGTTATCAGGCCTTCTGCTGTTCTACATTATAGCATTTGGCACTAATCTTTCTTTTAACAAATCCTGATGTGAAATCTATTGTATTTACATCTAGGTTAACCTCCCCGACTTGGTCAAGAGGCGAGGCAGGAGGTGATGTCCATAGATCAGAAGCCAACAAGCCTGTCCAACAGGGGCTAAGCAGGCAGAAGAAGAAGAACAGATCTACTCTACTCACACAAATGGCTTTCAACAATCTGGCAGCTACCCTCTGGGAAAGCCAGGAATACAAAGTTCCGCACCCAGATGCAGCAACTGCTAGTAATTGGAGCTGCCACAAGTGTGACCCCGCAGACCTTATTGCCAGTGCAGCAGAGGGAGCAGGGAATCATGTCATGGGACTGTACACAGTAGCTTCACGGGCAGGAACAGACAGGAATCATTACAGCAGTGGTTCCCAAAGTGTGGGGCGCGCCCCCTAGGGGGGGTGCAATGCCATTGCAGGGGGGGCGCAGGAAGCGGTATGGATGAATGAAGAAAAAAAAAAAAAAAACAGAGCTTGCTTGACTGAGCATAATGGACAGTTGTGACACTGCAACCCAGATTTGAGAAGATCTACAGCAAAAAGCAGGCTCACTACAGCCACTGAAAAGATGTGAGGATTAAAGTACAAAGAAAAAACTCTCAGGGAGCTGTTAAATGTTTTCACTCCATTTTGCACAGAGGCATTTTTAATGTATAGATTATAGCAAAGTTAAATATTGTTACAAATAAAAAAAAAGAAATCTGTTTAAAATAACACAGACAACAAAGAATCCTCTTCTAATCTACATTATAGAACTATGAAAAAAATACAGTTACACAAAAGTGTTCCACTGTAAAGATGGTGTAGTTGGTTTTGTTGCAACCTGAAGTGTGAAATAAACTTCAGTGGAGTTTGAAAACAAAATATGTGTATAGATTTATTATATCTGGTTGAACGATGTGTGTGCCCAGTTTCTTCTTTTTTTTTTTTTTTTTTTTTTTTTTTTTTTTTTTTGGGGGGTCGGGGGGGGGGGGGGGGGGGATCAAGGAGACAGAAGCAGAGATACAACAGGCAACTATAAAAGGCGGCACAACAGAAAGCCAGTCAGACGAGCTCTGAGCCAGTTCCCATGTCAGAGGAGGAAGTTTGTATTTAAGAAAAAAAACTTTTTTGTCAATATACTATATGCAGAACTCAAGTGGAAAAGTTTTATTTTTCGTAGCTGGTTTAATTTTGTAAAAAATCTTCCTTAAGGAACTTTTGGCTATTCGATTATTCGAACAATATAATCAACATATTACTTGATTTGCTAAATAATCATTAGTTGCAGCCCTAAAGCAGATTAATGCAAAGATATGTACCTGGACCTGCGTGTGGTTTGATGACATTCAGTTCAGAATAAAGCTCTTTAACAACATCTGAACGGGCTTCAAACGGCCGTGCAGTAACGTGGCTCTTCCACTTCCTGAAACCAAACTGATGCAGACACAAAAAACATACATTTACCAAACCTCTAGAATCATCAACGTCTAACCTGCACCAAAAAAATGACAAATCTCACCCTGTAGTTGTTGACCAATTTATTAGCCTCAACCTCATTCTCCGCCCTGATGGTCCTCTTTCTTGGGATCGCCTCACAGCTGTCTTTACACACATGTTTGCTCGAACCTGAAACAACAAACAAGTAAAAGACCAAATTACAGCTGCCTATATGCAAGGAATGCCTCTTAGATATGTAACTTTCTCGTCTACGAGACTCACATGCTTGTGCAGACACGCACTTTAACGAAGCACATAAGGAGTGAGGTGGAGAGGGAGTGAAAGCGTGTGCCACATCAGGTTGTGGAGTGTCCTGCGGTTGGTCATGAATTTCACCTTGATTATAACTTGCATGAGGATGAAGAACACATGAAGAAGCTGTAAGACAAAAAAAAAAAGACTCATAGAACACCATGGATACAACCTTAAATCACAACCAACACTGCATGTATTGAAGAGGCGACACCAAACTGAAAGTTATTTTATTTGTTTCTCAGGAGTCAGAAGGTCACTTTCATGTGTTATAAACAAAATAAAAAAATAAATCATAGGATTAAGATGTATTATTTTGGACTAACTATAGATATCTAGAGAATTGGGTACACCATTTCCTCTTCTGTGTGATTTCCCATGATTACCGTATTTTCACGACTATAAGGCGCACTTAAACGTCTTTTTTTTCCCTCAAAATGTGCGGTGCGCCCTATGGTGCGGTGCGCCCTATGTGTGTTGTAACTGCGACTTTTGAGACCACCTCATTGAGGAGATGATGAAAGAGTGGCTGAATGTAAGGAGACCAGGTGTTTTTTTTTCCACCCCTCACCATCGCTGTTAATATGTAACTCCATGCGTGCCCATCTCACAGCTGATGTGAAAAACATGGGGAAACAAATTAACGCTGTGCTCGCTGTTCAACCGCTCGACATCGGTGTGAACCGGACCCAGCAGGTGCAGCAGAAGCAGCGAGTTTACATGCAAAGTCAATGGTTGACGCGCATATAGGTGCAGCAAAAGGTCCTGCAGCGCGTTTTGGTGCAGCACGTCGGGAACGTTTAAGCATCTGACGCACCGCCAACGCGCTGCTGCTGCTCAGATGGAAAAATTGAAGTTTTGCTGCTGGACGCGCCGCATCAACCAATCAGAGAAGCTGATCTGGGAGCTGGCTGGGAGACAGACACAGCGCTCTGATGACATGATATTAACGCAAATGAAAAAGGCTGGATGAATGAGGAGATGATGAAAGGCAGGTGTATGTGAGGAGACCAGGTGCTTTTTTCCACGCATCACCATCGCTGCGTGCCCATCTCACAGCCGATGTGAAAAAAAGATGAATCAAATGAACGCTGTGCTCGCTGTTATCCCGGGGGGTCTGACAAAGGAACTTCAACCGCTTGACATCGGTGTGGAGCGGCCGTTCACAGTAAGGCTGCGAGCGGCGTGGGAGCGATGGATGACAGACTGAGACCACAGTTTCAGGATAAGTGGAAGGCAGCGCCGGGCAAGTTACGCCACCGTTAGCGGATGGATTGTAGATGGACTGTGTCTGCTGGCTCTGTTGTTCAAGCTTTCGAAAAAGCAGGCATTATTTCTGAGGAGCCGCGCTGCACGGAAAGTGACTGACAGCGAAGAAGGGGAAACTGGCATGTCTGATTTAGCGCAGCTGTTTTATTCAGAGGAATGCTGAGGATAACAGAGGATGATGACTTTGATGGGTTTGATTAATACTTTGTAATAAATACATTAATAAAGCACAATCATACTCAGGTTTGCTCCCGCTCTATTTTTCTACCTGAAAACTTAATTCAACAGCAGCCTCTGAGCGCGTCTCCTCCTCTTCACCGCGGTGGCTGGCAGGTGTTTTTTCATCTAAATAATCTAAATCTTGCAGCTATATTTGCTGTGATCAGTGGGAATAAATAAGTATAAATATGTTTTTAAGTGAGAAAGGCCACCTGAAAACTTAATAATTGCAGTCAGTTCATCCAGATTATCTATTTCTGTCGGAGGCGCTCAGACCCCCACATACCAGTGGTGCGCCGACAGGAGAAATCCTTTCGTTCACCGCGGCTGCTGGCAGGTGTTTTTCATCTAAATAATTTTAGCTGCAGGCACCAGGATACCGGTAATAAAAGCGAACATATTCTGTCGGCAGGTTTCAGGATTTTAAGTTAATTTAGGAGTGACCACAGCGCTGTGTCATCTGCGATGTGTCTGTCTCACAGCCAGCTGCCAGGTTTGATTAATACTTTGTAATAAATACCTGAATAAAGCACAGTCATACTCAGTTTTGCCCCCGCTGTATTTTTAAATACGCAGTAGAGGTATTTAAAGGTAGTAGAGGACATGTACCTGTATATAAAAAACGCGCCCTATAGTCCGGTGCGCCTTATGTGTGTGTTAAATACAGAAATGGGACACATAACTGAGAGTGCGCCTTTTAGTCCGGTGCGCCTTATGGTCGTGAAAATACGGTACGATGTTGCTTCGGGCACCAGAGGTGTCAAAAGAATTTATGTTTATTATTCAAGTAGAAGTATAAATCCTACTGTTTAAAAATTCAACATAAGCTTTTTACTCAGGTAAAAGTAAAATCTTTAAGACCACTTAAAAGTAATGCGGGAAAAAAATATTAAGGAGAGATGCATTAAATTTTATACTGGTAACTGCACTACCCTATTGAAGGAACATTTTTTCTACAGTTCTGGGTGATAAATTCTTTTTTATAACTTATTTTGGTATATGGTGAACAACAAGTTGGTGTAGTTTTGATTCAAACCACAGAAATTAATTGTCTAGATAAGAGGTCATGGATTAGGGGACCTGGATCCGGATTTGGACCCAACCTGATTTAAAACTGTTTATAAATCACTGCATGTTGTCTGACGAAAGTGTCTAACTTCACTTGATGTCCTGTTAATATGATTAAGCCCTCCGGAGTGCTGGGAACAGCCTACACGCGATACAAATGAGCCAATGAGCTGTCAGTCAGGGTCACTGCTGCAAGCTACTTTTAGACACAGCAGGCAAACCTGTGGCAAGCCGGGCGATGGGAAAGATGGAGACGATGAGAAAAAGAAAGCAGAGAAAGTGTGGATTGATGGAAAAACTGCAGTGAACTACTGAAAGAGAAGTGAAATGGTGTGCTGAAAGATGACCCTGAACATTTAGAGTATGACATTTTGGTTCAACCTACTGCTGTGAAGCATTATTCTCCACCATGAACATAATCAAAAATAAATATCGATCCAGGATCACGAATGAGCTCCTTGATATGTGCCGGAGAATGGTTTTCTCGCCACTCAAATGTAGGTTTAAAGCTGTGCGGGCAGCCTAAAGCCCACTTCTCTCATTAAGCAGTAAAAAAGAAAAAAAAAAGAAAACAAACGGTCAGTTTAGGTGTTTTATAAAATATTTCAATCAGGAAATTGTCCATATACCAAATTGAACAATTGTTGTTCTCTACTTCAAAAATTTTTTTTGATTTCGATGGAAAAATTTTCTTTTTTTTTTTTTATTTATAAAAATTCAATGTATAACATGGATGCATAAAAACCTGCTTTTCATTTCAGTGTTAAATTCTGTTTAAAGTAATAGATTATAATTAAAAACTCTCCAGACCTTTCCTAGTTGATGATTAACTTTATTTGGACCTCGGTGATTTTTAATTGGTTACCCCTGGTCTAGATAAAACAAATTATTTTGTTGGTTTTATTTTTATTTTTTAAATACCAACAGGCCATAACGAAAATGTGCTTAAATGAAACAAAACTAACGAGCCTATTTTAATATGTAAGGAGTAGAAAGTAGAGATAATTGCTTAAACAATTTAAGGAGTAGAAGTAAAAAAGTTGTCTACAAAATAATTACTCCAGTAAAGTACAGATAGCCAAAATTTCTTCTTTTTTATAAATAATTATAATAGTTGAACTTTATGGATCTCACATTAACTCTCTGCATTTAACTCCCCTTGGGGAGCAGTGGGCTGCCATTGTGTGGCCCAGAGTGCAGGCTGTGGGGATTGAACCGGGTACATGCAACCTTCTCAGAGCACAAGTGCACTTCTCTAACCACTAGGCCAACACTCCCCTAAATGTTAACTGATTGTTTGAAACTTGCATTATCTATTAATACACATGCTTTAGGTTGATGCATATCAACAAATAAGGAGAGAATGTTTCTGTATTCTATGAAGAAACAAATAATTGATCCTTTTTCTATCAGACATGCTATTCATCATTCAAAGTCAAACAGTAGAAACTGGACAATGGAGGCCTGATTGTGCATATCTGCATGGTATGTGGCAAAGTTCATCTAGTCTAGAGCACTTTAAAAATACCTTATATCTGAGTCAATATGTTAACCAGGAGCTGATTATCATAAACATTTGGTCAGGTCAGGAAATAGTGCATAACTTCAATTTGTAAAATGAAAGATCATTAGCCTCAGATATATCATTGATCTCTAAACATACTATAGAAAGGAAATAACCAAAGAAACTACTAGCTGTTGACAAACTAGACTTCCCCTTATCTCAGGAAAACAATGTCCAGCCACTGGTTTTAGTTCCTTATTTATGTTGCCTGCTGATCTTCATCAGATGAATGATGGGCAGGATGCTTATTAGTTGCAATAATTTGGTAATATAAAAGGGGAAAAAATCTAATAATTTAGGTAATTTACTGATTTTATTCAATAAACATTAATAATGTTTATTAATAATTTATTACATGTTTCTCCTTCCTGTCTTTTTGATTTCTCATCTTAGAAAACTTTGAAAAATACATCAATTAAATCGTGACGGGTTTTTTTTTTTTTGTAATATTTAGTTTTGAGGTGCGTTTTATTAATTTATTATGTTGCTTTTACTTATTATTGTTATTTTATTAATGCGTTTCCATATTAAATCGTGCAGGGGATAGTAATAATAATAATAATCTGTGGTTTGTGCAGATCTTCGTATTAATATCCTGCGCACACAAACAGGGGGCTCCTAATTAATACAACGTGACGGCCTGCATTGTGCTCTACTGTAGATGACCACTAAAAATAATCATTGAAATGAATTCTATTAGACTTTATTTTTGTTACTGTCTGAAGGTTTAAAATAAAGTTTCTTGATGAAGCTGAATAAAGAGCATAACTGGCTCACCCTGCGACTGTTCTGCGGTCCTTCTCCTCCGACTGGTGAGGTCTGAGTCCGGTGAGGACGACAGAGACATTTCTTCAAGTAAACTAAATCCCTCAGTCGCTGCAAGCAGAACCCTTCATATCTCCTTAAGCGTTAGCCTCTGCGAAAACGGGATTGTGCCGCTTGGAATTGTGGGAAATGTAGGCCTCTTCTTCTTCTTCTTTTACTTCTTCTTCTTCGTCTACTCTTCTTGTTGAAATTTGTATGGTGGTTGGCAAAACGTTAGGTGAGCATTACCGCCAACAACTGGTAGGAGTGTGGACCACATGGCAAAAAATGAAAATATATCCTGTTATACAATTTAATGTGTTTCAAAAACTCAGATATAACCTGGTATCCTCTGCTTCCTGATTCCTTTTGCTGTAAATCAACAATGTCGAGTTTAATTTTCATATTACCTACAACTCAAAATGTCGTGAAATAATTATCTCTTTTCTCCTTTTCCTTTCTGTTCTTCTCATTTGTCAAATTCTCTTTTGGATTTTATAGAACCACCTTCCTTTCTTTTCTTCCCATAACTTTTGCCACCTCTCTTTTGTTTGAGATGTAGGCTTGTTCTGATGTGAACTTCTTAAAGAGAAAGTACCGAATAAAACTTAAAGAATAGGAGCGTTTATTTGCTTAAAAAGTGTTCGACGATGGAGAAAAATGTTTCATATTAAAGCAAAGACTGTGTCTTAAACTGGCATATGAAGAGAAAAAACAACAGCTGTGGATCTTATCTTTAAAGGTACACTATGCAACCGGTGTTGATTTTCCAGCGAGGCTCCCCCCAGAGGGCGAAAGTAAAAGTGCACTGTCGTAAATATGCACAGCTGTTCTCCTGGTTTCTCCGTCAAGCCAGGCGCGGTTGTTTTGAGCTTAGCAGCGAATGACTAATGCTGCGTTCACACTGGACGTAGCTGGCGCGACAGAAGCAGCGAGTTTCAAAGTCAATGGTTGATGCGCGTCAAGGCGCAGCAAAAGGTCCCGCGGCGCGTTTTGAGATGCAGGCGCAGCACGTCTGAGAAGCTGAAGCAGCGCGTTTAAGCATCTGACGCAGGGAGAGAGACACAGCGCTGATGATCATTCCTCTTAAACAGTTTATTGACGCCTAAATTAACTGAAAATGCAGAAATCTGCCGGCAGAATATGCAGTTTGGATTATTTAGATGAAAAACACCTACCAGCTGCCGCAGTGAACTGCGAGGAGGCGACCCGGCCAGAGGCTGCTGATGACGGGATCCCTGCTGTCGGCGCATACCTGGTATGTGGGGGTCTGAGCGGCTCCGACAGAAAAAATATTGAAGGCAGGATAATAATCTGAATGAACTGACTGCACTGATTACGTTTTCAGGTGGATTTTCTCACTTAAACACATATTAAAACTACTTTATTCCCACTGATCACAGCAAATATAGCTGCAAGGCAGAGAAAGGATAGTGAAGCTCCGTCCAATGCGCGTCAGACACACTTTTGCAGTCAGAGCAGCAAAGCTGCTTCAGCCACGCGTCAGAACTAACTGGTACAAGCAGCAAAAATGAAGCAGCAGACGCGATTTTGCTGCTTTTGCTGCGTGAAAGTAGCATAACTGCACAAAGATTGCCACTGTGCTAGCAACGAGAATGCTTTTAACTGGGGGCGTCTAGCAGTTCTCGCTGTAAAGCAAGACTGACTCTCACGAGACTTCTGAGCCTGTGGGTGCGGGTCGGTGCTCCTGCAGTTGCAAGTGCAGTATTTCCCCCACAGACCACCAGGGCGGCCGAGAAAACCTTTGTTCAACCTGAAATGACTCATTTAATCATCCAAAACGTTATGGAACACATTAATTAACTGAAAAATGTTGCATAGTGTGCCTTTAATCATGATTGACAGCTGCGTGATCACAATCTCAGAAGCTACTGAGAGATTACCAACAAGTCTATTTACATAAAACACACACACACACACATATATATATTTGCAGTAGCATGATACTCCCATGATACTCCGTACATTTTTATGTAATCACTTGCGCAGTGCTCCTTGGGAGGTTTAAAGCTTGGTAAATCATATTTTTAAGCCTAAATTGTGGCAAAAAGTCCAAAAATTTCAAGGGGGGCTAATACTTTCACAAGGCACTGTAGCTGCTGTCATAGGCATGTGTTTATAAAAGCCTAGGTTGGTTTCTGTCCAAACAAAAAAAAATCTTTATTACATTTTCCAAATCATCTTTATGCTTTAGTACTTTCATACAAGTAGGAGAACAGGGAGAAGAGACAGAGCAGAACAGTGAGAAGAGAAGAAGAGGAGACACAAAGAGAGCAGCATAGCAGTCACTAAAGCAACAGACCTCAAAATGTGCACTATTAATTTAGGGCATAAGTTTAACTGTCCTAAACAGCTAGAACAGTTCTAGGTCCCACTTATACACAGATGCTTATGAATTAATACAATAAATGATTATGAATGAATATATTATTTTAACATTTTTATCCATACTAAATACATGTGTTATGTCAAAGGTAATAATTTTAACAGTATTACTTAGTGCAAGATTTTGATACTGGAATAAAAGATTGATTTCTACAAATTTGTACGTCTGATCAGCTATTGGAAGTTCTGTAAATCCACAAAACAAAGTGAATGTTGGAGCTACTGTATTTTTTAATCACTGCCATGGAGGATCCCATCCCGTGCATGAAGCTGTTGCAGAACTGGAGAGTTCCTTCAGTGACAGACTGCTGCACCCAGGGAGCGTTATCACGGATCCTTCCTCCTAGCAGCTGTAAGATTTTATAACCATCACTGTTCCCAACAACCTAAATAAGTTGTTAGATTCATGTTGATTTTGCACAGTTTCCGTCTTAGTCATTTAAATAACATCTTTGTGTCATTTTGCTAATCTCTGATGTTGCGGCTCTTTTCAAATATCTATTACTGTAAAAATGTCTAAAGCTGTAAATTGGTTATTTTATTCTCCAGGTCCAAAGTTTTGTACTATTAAAACGCTTTCCAGTAGAGTATTTTATTGCTTATCTTTTAACTCTAATAGTATGTTATTCTTCTACACTTTGCTAATGCCCACATTTGTGTGAAAGTTTTTTCTATAATCTTTTTGCTACTGTAAATAATTGTGGCACAGCAAAGGGATTGTCTATTCCTATTCTATTCATGTATCAGCATAAAAAAAGGTTGGTGCTCTATCAACAACAGAAAAAGTGAGAAATAGCTTCACCATGTGGTCAAATGGGAGTACACCTTACTGTCTCGGGCACCATCTTAATAGAAAACTGCAGGCAATTAGAGGTTTCAAATGTACTCCTGTTCTTCTCTTAAAAAAGTACAGTTACCTGTGTAAAAAATTAACTTTGTTAAAATTAAAAGTACATATTGAACTCCTTTACGTAGTTAAAAGTAAAAAAAGTGCAGGTTGTACATTGTTTCTAATTAAAAAGGTAAAACAAAGTTTTTAGAAGGATAATCAGACAAATGGAAGTCTGTACAAAGTCAATAAACAGAATAAAATTTTCAACAGGCTCAGTTCACAAACAAGCTCAGCATCAGCACAGTCTCATGGACATCCTGCCCTTCTGACTCTCCTGCTTCTATCAATTTGTTGTCAGCCAAATCAGAAGATGGTGCTGCTCCCTCCAGCTCTCACATGTCTATCTCCAAAGTCAGGAAGAGGCAAGAGAAACTGAATTGTAATGAGTCACCAGCTCCTAATGGCTTCAGTTCCAGAGCCCTGAAGGGCAGTGCGGAGCAGCTCTGTGGGATTCTACAGCACCTGACCCAGGAAATGTTCCAGTGATGTGGAAGACCTGCTGCCTTGTTCCAGTACCAAAGACGACGCAGCAAACAGTCCTCAGTTACAATAGGACTGTTGCCCTGACAACCCAAATCATGAAAGTCCTAGAGAGACTTTTCTGTTCACCTCGGCAAATAAAACAGCTATCAGGTCCCCATGCTGTTTTTTTTATCCACGTGGAGTTGAAATTGAAGATGCCATCATACACCTACTTCAACAAACCTACTGTCATTTAGACAAGGCAGATAGCACTGTGAGGATCATGTTCTGTGATTTCTCCCATGCATTTAACACAATTCAGACTGATTTTGTGTGAAACTCCAGAAGACTTAGGTGGAAGCATCAGCAATTGTGTGGATCAAAGACTACCTGACAAACAGACCACAGTTTGTTAGACAGAAGGATCAGCTGTCTAATCAAGTGGTCAACAGCACAGGAGCACCACAGGGGACGGTATTCTCACCATTCGTTTTTACTCTGCACACCTCTGACTTCTAGTACCAGACAGAGTCCTGTTACATGCAGAAATACTCAGATGACTCTGCAGTCACCTGATGCGCCAGAGATGGACAAGAAGTTGAGTACAGGGAGCTGGTGAACTGCTTTGTGGCGTGGTGAAGAAAAGGACATAGCAGTTTGTACTTCCTAAGGAAGCTTAGGTTCTTCGGCATTTGCAACAAGATGCAACATATCTTATTTAAGTCTGTTGCGGAGAGATTGATCTCCTCATCCATCATGTGCTGGGTAACAGCATCAGAGCAAAGGACTTTGAAAAGCTAAACAAGCTAATTAAGAAGGCCAACTTTGATCTAGGAACTCCTCTAGAGCCTCTAGAGATGATTTCACAAAGGATAATTCTTTAATAAAGTGAATAATGTTATGGACAACAGTGAGCATCTTCCTCAGAAGATTGTTAATAAACAACAGAGTGTCTTTGGTAAAAGGCTTCTCGAGATCCGGTGCAAGAGAGACAGATACAGAGGATCCTACCTGCTTACAGCTATCAACACAACAAACATAAAAACAACAAAACAAAAACTATGAGTAACTGCAACATTTAATTCCCCTTTGTGATTAATAAAGAATTTTTTTTATTTAATTGAACGAAGCAGCTTTAGGTACAGAAAATAGGGTTCCTCTTTTGCGTACTGTATTGTACTGTAAGAGAAAACATAATGGATACTGATACTGATTTTGTTCTATATTGTTTTTCAGAGAAAATAATAAAGATTGAACTGAACAGAAGAATACTTATCAGCACTCTGGTATTCACAGCATTAAAACTGTGTTAACATTAAAATAAAACCTTAAACATAATCAACATGAAAATTCTAAATATAACAAAATGGGAATCTGATTCACTATCTTCACCAATGATGCTATCAGCTGGACAGACTGTTTTTCTTCTCTAGATTTTCCCTCTGTTTTGTTAAAGTATAATGTCATGTTATTAACAATATGTATAGTAAGTAAAAAGCTATATTTAAGAAGTAGAAGGAGTAGAAAGTACAGATATTTGCATTCAGATGTAATGAGTAAGAGTAAAATGTCCTTAGAAAAAGGACACCAAGAATGTTTACACCAAGGATTGTGGACTGGGATTTTAGAAAAGCTAAGGTGAAGAATAAATAAAAACCTCTTGTTAGTTAATAAAAATAAAAAATTTTATTACAATTGAAGAGAATAGCTTAGTTTTATCTGGATTAATCTGTATTTAATCTGGTTGTTGTCCAAGCTTTCCATCACCTGCAGAATTAAAGCTCATCCTTAATGTCTTTGGATTTTTTTTCAATTTGTTAAGAAATGAATATAATTTTTTTATTAATCATCAGTGTTTCGCATTTGTGCACCTTAATTTACATTGTGAAGTATAGTGTCTAAGCACTGTTTTAAAATGGCAGTATATGCAAACCAATACTTTTAATGGTAATCAAGTAGAATTTTCTAGAAGCAAATATGATAGAACATTTTACCTACAGTAATGCAATACAAAGAATTTGTTCTGTTGCTACAAAAGGCCAATTTAAGTAAGTAAGTAAACTTTATCTCTGTAGCACTTTTCACAGACAGGGGTCACAAAGTAACACAAAACAGTTCAAGTAAAAACTAAATAAATAAGATAATTAGTTCATTTGAAAATCCTGTGTGCACAGCCAATTTTTGGCTGTTTTTTAAAAGTGTCTACAGAGTGCATGGAGTGCAGAAACAAAAGGCGTTTGTTCCTGAGATGGGGTGTCACCTCTTTAAAAGAGTAATTGAAGACTGATTTTCATTGTTATAAGTTTTCTAAATTACATTTCTCAATATGAAACCTCAGTAAGCTAACTTTTTTCCTAATTTTCTAATTCACTATGTTTCTTAAGCAAATTCCAGTAGAATTCATAAAATTTGTTCAATTCTATTGTAAAAACTTCCTTCCTTCCTTAAAATGCTTATTATTATTATTATTGCAAAGTTGAACAGGAATCAATTATAATAGATTAGATAATAAGTTAGTCCTGTTACACAACAAAAAAAAAGTCTGTCCCCAAAAAAGTGGTCAACTTTAATCACATCGATTTAGATAGTCTGCATTTCACAGCTCTCTTGTATAATAAGGGGTAGAAAAGTCAAAAGAGTCAAGCAGACATCTACCTATCTTATTGTGGTCATTGTGTGTTTTACTAGTAAATAAACATGTGATTTCAAAAGAAAAAAGTCACAGAGACCCTGTAAATAAATACTTTCATGTCAAGCTATCATTACACACACTGTCCTTATGCTTTTATCTGCCAACGCTGGCTATCATAAAATATTGTTTTTTTTAAAATTCTGCCACTAAAGCATAAGTTGTCTATAATGTACAGAGCTTTGAAAGCTTTGAGATCAGCAGAAAGACTTAGAAAAAAAAGCATAGAAGCACACAGTACATTTGTGTCTGATTCAGACTACTATAATATTGCAAATATTTAATAAGACATTTACACACTTACAAAGTCTCTCTGTATCTCCTCTTATATTTGTTGCTTATTATTAAGACTGAAGCTTTAAAAGTGCTGCTCAACTCTCTCAGTTTTAACCCTTACGTATCATTACTGGCATCTTTAAACATGTTTTTTTCTTATTTTTCTGTAAATAATTTACCCTTTCAGAAATAGGACCCGCCCCCACACACACACCCACACCCTTGGAGGACTGTACACTGCTATATAAAAATAAAGGGAATACGTAAACAACACAATATAACTTCAAACAAAACAGACTTCTGTGAAATCAAACTGTCCACACAGCAGCATGCAAATCAATTTTGCATGCTGCTGTGCAAATAAAATATACAACAGGAGAAAATTATTGGCCATAAGCAAAGCACACTTAATAAAGAAGTGGTTCTGCAGGTGGGAACCACAAACCACTTCTCAGTACCTATGATTTTGTCTGATTTTTTAGTCACTTTTGAATGCTGGTGGTCGTTTCACACGTGATAGCATGAGACGGACTCTACAACCCACACAAGTGGGTCAGGCAGTGTAGCTCATCCAGAATGGCACATCAGTGAGAGCTGTGGCAAAAATGTTTGCTGTGTTCTTCAGAATAGTGTCTAGAGGCCTGAGGTGCTACCAGGAGACAGGCCAGTACAACAGAAGAAGTGGAGGAGGCCGTAGGAGGTCAACAGTCCAGCAGCAGGTTCACTACCTCCACCTTTGTGAAAGGAGGAACAGGAGGAGCACTGCCAGAGCCCAACGAAATGACCTCCAGCTGGCCACAAATGAGCATGTGTCTGCTTAAACGCTTAGAGACAGACTCCATGAGGATGATAAGAGGGCCTGACCTTGACAGATGGGGTAGTGCATGCTTCATGTGAGGAACTGCTGTCGAATCACCTGGTTTTCTAATATAAAACTTTGAACCAATTTGACTGTATGATTTTGTTGTATTGTCTTTGTAAAGGAACCTGTGTGTTGTGAATTGGCGCTTTATAAATAATCCAAACTGAATTGAATTCTTCTTGTAGTTGTTATGTTCTCTGTTTCCTGTCTCTCTCTTCTCATGCAGGTATGGAACCAGACTTCTAGGACTTACTGTACATCCACTGTGCTGTGTATTTTTGCTGCTTTGTTTTATTTTTTCTCTTTTCATGCATTCTTTCCTGTCTCTACTTCTTTCTCTCTCCCCTTATTTCTTATCTCCTCTTTTTTTCTCACCTCCCTATCCGTCTCTGTCAATTTTAAACTATTTTACTCCCTAAATAATAATTTTTGAATAAAGTTTCCTATACAAATATCAAGCGGAACCTTATGTGTGCTTGTGAAAGCAAATCAGTTTGGCTATCATCTAGCTCTGGGACATCTATCCCCAGAGCCATATTGGCAAAAAAGGAAACACACACAAAAACAGGAAACTGAGGCAACAATTCCAACAGGTTTAGCATCTTTGTGATAAGGTGCAACAGGAGAATTGTATCCTCAAGGCACAGAGGATAAATCTGTCAAGGCTGTGTGATGCTATCATTAAATTGAATTATTGTGCATAATGAAGGTCATGCCATTATCCTACTCAGGCATATCATTAAATATAAAACCTTTATGCTTTATTTTTGATGTTGATTTTTTTTTTATACAATGATGCATTAATTTAAAGCCAATCAGTGAAAAAAAAAAGATTATATTTGCTTGACAGCTGAGTTACAGATCAAATTGATTTGAAAGTTCAGAGAAAAGATCAGTTTGTTTGTGATCATGAGCAGAAAAACAAACATTTGTCAATGGTAAATTGCAAATAGTCCAAAGACCACATGAAGGTCGTTGTGATCTGAGCGTAATGTCATGGTGTTTTCTAATCCCTGACCTAATATGATAAACTAAATCACCGTCAATCACTTCCTTGGGGGTGGAGTCTCTAGTCCCATATGTCTGGTAAGACTTAAATACAACAGCACACAGGAAGTGGACACTTGGGGACTAACCAGACCAGACAACTGTGAGGTCATGGCGAGTCACTGGAGGGTCACCTGTTTTGCAGCGCTGGCTTTGCTATGCTGCTTAGCCAGGAGAGAAGCAGAGGCTCAGAAGGGTGGGAATCAGCAACCGTATATGCCAAACCCTATGAATCCCAACCCTGGATTTCAAAAGCCTTCAGACCCTCAGAAGCCTAGCCGCCCAGAAATTCCCCCGTTTCAATGGCCTGGAATCCCTAAAAATCCTGTTGTTTCACCCCAAGGAAATACCTTCCCTGGATCTCAAAATCCTTCAGACCCTCAGAAGCCTAGCCCCCCAGGAAATCCCCCGTTTCAATGGCCTGGAATCCCTAAAAATCCTGTTGTTTCACCCCAAGGAAATACCTTCCCTGGATCTCAAAATCCTTCAGACCCTCAGAAGCCTAGCCCCCCAGGAAATCCCCCGTTTCAATGGCCTGGATTCCCTCAAAATCCCGTTGTTTCGCCCCCAGGAAATACCTTCCCTGGATCTCAAATTCCTTCAGACCCTCAGAAGCCTAGCCCCCCAGGAAATCCCCAGTTTCAATGGCCTGGATTCCCTCAAAATCCCGTTGTTTCGCCCCCAGGAAATACCTTCCCTGGATCTCAAAAGCCTTCAGACCCTCAGAATGCAAAAAAGCAATTTCCTTATTCAGATCAATCAATGTCCCAATTCCCTCAAAGGCAAACATCTAAAGTCCCTTCCAAGAGACCACAAACCCCTGGAACTCCCACCCCTAAAAGCTGTGAAGTGGCTAGCGCTTCAAGAGTCCCATGTGGAGTTTCAGGCATCACCGCAGCTGAATGTACAGACAGAGACTGTTGCTTTGATGGTCAGTCATGCTACTTTGGGAAAGGAGGTGAGTGTTAAACCTGCTGTTTTTTTTTTTTACTAAAATAGACTAACCTTTTTAAAATACCTCTCAAAACTACAGGGAAATAAATATGATTAATCTGGAGTTCTTAGAACTAGAAATATGTATATCCTACATCCTAAGTAATTTCCCTCTGGGATTATTAAAGTATTTCTGATTCTGATTCTACCTTACCATTTACTTTCTTTGTTCCACTAGTGACAGTCCAATGTACCAAGGATGGTCAGTTTATTGTTGTTGTGGCCAGAGATGTCACCCTGCCCAATATTGACCTTGAAACAATCTCGCTGTTGGAAGGAGGTCAAGGCTGTACACATGTTGACTCTAATTCAGTTTTCGCTATCTATCACTTTCCTGTTACTGCTTGTGGCACTGTTGTCATGGTAAAGTCTACATTTGTGTTATTTTCACCCTTATTTCAGTCCATTTTCAACAATTAACACATTTTCCATTTTTTACACATTGCAGGAAGAGCCTGGTGCTATAATCTATGAGAACAGGATGACTTCTTCATACGAAGTTGGTGTCGGGCCTTTTGGAGCCATTACCAGGGACAGCAGCTATGAGTAGGTGAACACTGAAAAAGTATCATTCATAAAAAGAAAAAGAAATGACAGCTGAACCCCAGTTGTTTTCAGATTGCTCTTCCAGTGTAAGTACATTGGCACCTCAGTTGAGACGTTGGTGGTTGAAGTGGTATCAGGTGATCCTCCTCTACCGGTTGCTGCTCTTGGCCCCATCAGAGTGGCCTTGAGGTTGGCCAATGGCCAATGCCTTACAAAGGGTTGCAACGAAGGTCAGTAGGTGTCGCTAAGAGATTCTTAATGTTAATAAATCCATAAACTTGGCTTTCATAACTTATGTACTTGGTCTCACAGTGGAAGCTGCCTACAACTCCTACTTTATGGACTCAGACTATCCCGTTACCAAAGTGCTGCGGGATCCTGTGTATGTGGAAGTTCAGCTGCTTGAGAAGACAGATCCGGCACTGGTTCTGACTCTTGGACGCTGCTGGGCAACCATAGGTCCCAACCCTCACAGTTTACCCCAGTGGGACATTCTGATTGATGGGTAACAGAAACACTTCTTTACACTTAATTATACTATGCTAATTCTTTATATATCTGTTAATCACCCTTATCAGGATGGCTTCCATAGTGTGTATTGATCTGTGTGAGAGGAACGTTTTGCTATGAAAAAGTTAATGACTTGGGGTAAACAGGGAATAATTCAGCAAATAAGAAGTTTCTCTACAAAATAAAAGATCTTTCACTTTTTAAGATAAAAGCTAATACCAAGCAGAAAATGGCAAGAGAATGAGAGACTTGCCATTAACTTGTTCTGAGCAAATAATCTTTTAATTATGCATTTCACCAGGAGTACTAATCGCACATTGGAGTGACCTAGCAAGAGTCTTTACTTTAATCTAACACGGAAATATGTGAAGGGAGCTAAAGATAAGAGTGATTGTGAAAAGACTCTTAAATATACCAAAATAACCGTGGAAATGTGTAAAAAGCTGCTGAGCAATCAATAAAGGGGTTTTAATGGCTGCGATGGCAAAAAAAAAAGAATAAAAAGGATTTTATCGTGGATAAATGGTAAGCATATAAAACTTTTTCAAAATCTATTTTTTTTCAGCTGAAAGTATTTCCTTTTTCTTTCATAAAAAAAAAAACTTGTACATTTTTTTAATTATCCTTTTTTAAGGCATTGTGTCATGAACCGAGGACAGGTGGACCCAGTATTCAGGAGAGACAGTCAGTAGGAAAGTTCAAAGGGTTTATTAAAATAAAAACAAAACAAAAACGGAGCTGTGGCTCGCGGACTATGCAGGCGTGGGGAGGCGGGGCACCGCCCAATCTCAGACACTCTGGGGGAGAAACACAGGTAAGTGACCACAATCAACTGATAGATGATTATCCGTGTTGGTCACTTACCTGGTTTAACAGTCCAGACCACGAGTGTCCCCAGTGCTGCAGTCCCAGAGGTCATGCTGGAAGGGGATCCTGGTGAGGGATCCAGAACAGACAGGAACAGACGAAACAGGCAGAATCCAGATCAGGCAGGAACAGAAACAGGTGGCAGGATCCAGACTTCCAGGCATCCACAGGCTTCCAGGAGGGTTCAGAGTCTGACTGGGACCAGAAGCATGACCAGGTGGTCATGCACAGGAGCAGACAGGATCAGGTGCAGACAGGCAGGCACAGTGGAAGAGGGTAGCCGAGACAGGACTTAGGAACCGGAACTTGAAGCAGGATTTTAAACTGGTCTCCTCCTGGAGCCAGGCTTACTTAGACAAAAACTGAACCTCCCCCATAATGAGCCAAAAACCCAGAGGACTCCGCAGGGGAGGAACAGTGGACGATCAGGAGACAAGACAAACACTAAAACCCTCTTTCCACTGGCAGCTAGGAACCAGGACATGAACCATCAAATCAAAGTGAACAGACAGACTAACAAAAAGACAAGCAATGATCTGGGGCTGAATGCTCAGGATGAACTGAATATAACCAAGAGGAAACAGGTGAGAGGAATAAATTATGATTGAGGCAGGGAAGGAAGAGGGCAGGTGAGAGGAATTACTAATTAAGGGAGAGCAAACAGGCCAGATCATGACACATTGTTCTTATGTATTATCAGGGGGAAAAAATATATTGAATTATTTATTAAAAAAAATCTGTTTAGTCGTATGACTAATTTTGGACATATCTGTAACAAATTATAGTTATTGGTTATTTACAAAGCTATACACTGAAGCATAAGTATTTTTCATAAGATACCTTGTTCTTGTACCCCCATGTTAACGTGAGTTGTGCTTGATCTCCATTCAAGATGTCCATATAGTGACGACAGATACCTCTCCTCCCTGGTCCCTGTTGGTTCCTCCTCTGGACTGGAATTTCCAAGTCACTATCGGCGTTTTATTTTCAAAATGTTCACCTTTGTGAACACCCATACAATGGAGCCTCTGAGAGAAAACGTAATAATTTCAGCACCCTAACCAAAACAAGTCTATTATATTTTTCTGACAAATAAGTTCAAATAATGTCTTTCTTTTCCAGGTGTACATTCACTGTAGCACATCGGTGTGTGTGTCAGGGCAGGGTATAAACTGTGAACCGTCATGCCGCAGCGGCAAAGGAAGTAAGGGATTTATTAATTAAGAAAGAAAACAGCAAAAAGATCATGATGAATGGATGTCCAGATGTAACAATATATTTTATGTCATGCAGAGAGAGACATCGCGGCTGCAGAGCAATGGAACGCTCAACCAAAGATTGTGGTTTCGTCTGGAGAAATGATCATGACCGCCCCTCAGGAGTAAACAGAGACAAACGCAGGGGGTCAATTGGGAACATAAAGGCAAATCACTTCATATATTGAAGCAGTTGTTGAACAGTGAATAAAAATTATCTATGGTCATACAATACATAACCAACACATGATGATCAGTTGATTTCAGTCCTCTTTACGAATTTAGGAACTTGATGAAATATTTAAGACTTTGTGTTTTTATTGTGAGTTTGCATTTACAAATGACTACATAGATTCTCCAAAGATGTCGAAGCGAGTACAAAGAGACCAAACTGCAAAGAAAAATCTCCTTAATGAGAACAACAACTGTTAGAAACTACTGTTAAATGCATGATAGGAAACGTAACAGAAAAAGGGACAAAGAGATAAAAAAAAAACAAAAAACAGATAAATTGTTTATGTTCCATTTTTTCCCGATAAAATTTTTTCTGGCTTTTTATCAATAAAACCATATAATGTAGCAGTATGTTATGGGAATCTAAAATAAAATTATATGTATGCATCCACATATGCAAAAACCAAGAGATCTAGTCATAAACAGGAGACAGTCTTGTTTTCTAACATTACTGAGACTTTCAAAGAGCAGCTGGAATCACAGTGAGTTTCAATTTCTCACAGGTAGACTCTATTTTTGACTTCTAAAGAAAATACAGGACGCTGCACTGAGTTTTATTTGGTGGATACAAACAAAGAGGCCCCCAACACTTTTCAGACTTTCATTTGAAAGCTAAAGCTTCAGTTTTACACTCCTTTGTGTTGGTCTATCACCCAAAACCTCTGTAAAATTGCATTGGTGCCTGTAATTCTAATGAGATGACAGGATGAGGAAGAAGTCAGAGCATTTCACAAAAATGTGGCCCCAAAAGAACATTTTCACAAATAAAAACTGTTCTTGCTCCTGCTGGTAAAACAAACAGCAACAAACCTGAGCTCATTTTAAATGGTTAACGCGACCCTAAAGGTATCACCAGAATTAAACCTCCCAAAAGTATTGTGCAATACTCTCCGCTTTGAGGGCCCTGACCTACGATCGTTTGACATGAGAGGGTGGACTGGTCATCGACATCAGGAGGTTGGGAGCCAAATGAAACAGCAAATAAAAACCTAACAGCTGTGACACTGCGGCATGTCAGGGATGTGTCAACATGTCAGACTCTGGGATAGAAGTCGCGGCTCAGGTCAAATCAGGAAAGAAAAAACTGTCAGTAATAACAACGCTGCTTCCAACACAGAGGAGAAAACAGAGAGAAAACCTTTCAATTCCATATGTGTCAGGAGTTTCTGAGATAACCTTTGAAGATCAAAATATCTAGATGTGGAAAGGGAGGACAGATGGTTTAATAGAGGAGTAAAGGAAGCCATCTTTGTTAAAAAGGAACCTGAACAGAGGCGGTTTAATTTGTTTGTGGCTGAGAATTTACAAGACATACAAATATTTAAGTATTTAAACAATTTTAAAACTCTATCTGCCTATATTATTATATTCAGTTGTTGTTTTATCTTTTTCTGGCAGTTCTTTTTAATTACGTATCAGTCTGGTTTTAGTCCCTTATCAGCAGTGGTGCTGTCATAGTCTGCATTTAAATATATGATAACAAAAGGGAGCACACAATTATGTACAAGACTAAAAAAACTAAACAATAATAAAGTATAAACGATTAAACACACTATACAGCGGGGGGGAAACTATCTAGTTTAGAAAACGCTGCAGTTTTTAAGAAAATGGTATACTCGGATCAAGTAAAAAATTGCTAAGATAAAAATTAAACAGCATCTCAGCAAAACTCTACTGACCTAAATTCTCAATGGGAAGAATTAGTTTAATAGAAATTTGTTCTATATAAACATTTAGTTTATACAGATATAGTTTTATCAGTGAAAATTGTATTTTTGAAGTCAATTATTGCACTGCTAGATAAAGTCACATTTTACCAGAAAGCAAAGCAAACATACCACCTCTGAATTGTTAAAGAAAATTATAGCTCATTAGTTAAAATTTGATGCATTTCACATTTTTAAAACTCAACATTTCAAAGCGAAATTTCAGGTTTGGTTTTGTTCAAAAGTATTTTCAAAAAATAAAACTAGCTTCATATATTAAGTTTAAAAAGTTTTATTTTTCAAGATCTAATGCATACAAGAAATATTTCAATTACAAAAAAATGTTTCAAATCATAATCTCCACAATAATAGTTAAATATTTGAAGCAGGGATCTTCTACTAAGGTGTAAAGATTAGCACAAGAAGGATTTACCACATATGAAGAGCATGCTAATTGAAATGGAAGACACAGAAAACCTTCAAGTTTAATAAAGTCAACCAGCCCAGAAATAGTCAATATTACTCAGAACGTTCATTTCCACATACAGCACTAGATATATCGGATCATTTATCATGAAGAATCGTGTCTAGAGAGTTCCCAGGTATTTGTTATTTGACAGTGTGTGTTTTTTTTAAGTCCAAAATAAGAACTGATTGTAAGGCACAGATCATCACTGATTGTCATGGAACAAAAAGTTAAATATTCTCGCCTGCCATTTTCTCCTAATGTTTGCTTCTGTCGATGACAACCCAGCTCTTATATGCTGTATTGCTTTATTTCTACATACAAGTATTGAAAAATTTATGAACAAATGTGAATGTCTATAACAACATAAAAAAACAACCTAAAACCAACAAAAAAAAAAAGAAAAAATTGCATATTGAAATTTGAAGTCCTCTGCTTCTTTTCTCCTGCTTAGGAATGCAAAAACATAAACGGGAGTGTGAGCTGCAGAAACTTAGCAGTGTGTTCATTCTGCTCTGCTCCATGTCAGTCAGACTTGTCTTTCTTTTTGCTGCCTCCTAGTGGAACTTGGTTGACGACTGCAGACCCGACGGCTGTCACTCCGCCCGCCACAGCACACACTCCCCCCTTCACCAGCCCCACCCCCATTGCAGGCACGGCTACCACGGTGCAGACTGCTGTCTTAGTGAGGTCCAGGCTCTTTCCTCCTATCCATGTCACGCCGCCAACCGTTGCTTTCGTGGCTCCGTACAACCCCCCCGCCAATCGGCCGAACATGCCTGGTTGCGTCTGTGGGTGGTCCTTATTGCTGTCTGATGATTTAAAACAATGAAAACAACATGATTAGGTTTATCAGTTACAGGATGCATCAACTTATAATAAGGTAGTTTTTGGAGGACTGATTATCAAACTTGTGACCAATAATGACAAATGAAAAAAGATCGTACAGGACGAAGAATAAAAACATTGTTCTAACAGAGAGGACCTGTGCATCATGTTGATTCTGTCTTCCATCACACAGTAAATACTAAGTGGCCGTTTGTAGCCGCTCGGATGTTATCAGTTTATCAGTCCCATGGAATGGCTTCAGATTGTGCCAGTAGGCTCAGTGGGTTGTTATCATCGATTGAATCCTAACCCTAAAGTAATTCCTTTTCACCTGCGGAATTAATGAATCTATTTATGTGTAATCTGAAATAATTTTAGTATTTCTTCATGTACAGTAAAAATAAATAAATAGAAATAAAATGGTTTGCATGTCGGTTATATTAAGCAAACCAAAAACATATAAATCTCATATTGTGTCAACTGAGTTGTAAAATCATCTCTCTATAATTATTTCATTCTCTATGAAAAAGTGCCAATCATTCTTTAAGAAAATCCACGTCAAATGGATGTGCAATGTTTGTTTTTAAAACCTAATGTATCTAATGGACCTAGTTAATTATTTCTGTTTTATTTATGCACAAAACTGTGAGTAAAATTGTACTAAATCAGGAAATAAAACAACGTGATTGGCTGTAAGGAGAGCGGAGACAGAGGAGAATCTGAGTTTACTGAAGAAAACCTGCTCCAGACCAGGTTAGCTCTGGGGAGGATGTTACTACGGTAACTGAAACAAAGGTTGAGGAAACTCTCTTTGTGAAACGGAAAAGTCAGAGTTTCCCTGATTTCAGGTTTAGAACACCTGGGAGTTTTCAGAAATACCTACTTCATGAAACGGACCCCAGGTCTGTCATCATTTATCTTCAAAACAATGCATTTCTTGGAGATCAGAATGACGGTGGAGTGTTTTAAGCATGAAGGAACCTCACACAGTTCCAGAAACTTGTTGGAGATCTAAGAGAAAATTTGTGGCCAACTGGTCGGTGCAGGTTCTCGGGCAAGATGCTGGGAAAGTGCTGAGAAAATATCAGTATCCAAATTTTAAAAATCCTGCAACAACATAAATACTACCCAGCAAAGAGGAGGTCATTAATCTAATAGCAGCAGCAGCAAAAATATAGATTTCTGTTTGCAAAATGAGCTCAAGGCCGGAGACAAGCCTTTAAGCTTGTAAAAAACAAACAAGTCAGGGAATTGCTATCAATACAACTGGGCCAAAATACAGGAGGCTTGCGGACCCCTCTGGAAAGAACTAGTTCTGTCTGAATGTGCTGTTCTCATAACTCATACAAGCTTAATGTGTCCACATACAGCTGTACTATATAGTGGACTTTATAGCAAACTCAGTTAACTGACCGTTCGGAAAGACAATCACTGCTTCTTTGCTCTGTTGGTTACGTAACTCCTCCTCTACCACGTGGTGCCTGCGCCATCTTTGTTATGAGTCCCTGCTGTCGGGTAGCGACAGCCTATGGCAACAGCACGCTGCTGTGACAGCAAATCCCAGAATGCCTTGCGTGGAGAGCTCTCTGTGCAATTCTGTGTGTATATTCTGTACTTTTTTATCTCTGCTTCTGTCTCCTTGAACCCCAGTCGGCCTCGGCAGATGGTCGCTCAAGCTGAGCCTGGTTCTGCTGGAGGTTTCTTCGTGTTAAAAGGGAATTTTCCTCTCCACTGTCACTACAAGCATGCTTCGTGTGAGGGATTACCATTAATGAGTTTTTGCAATCAACTGGTTTGCCTTTGATAGACAACTGATAGAAAACTGAATAAATTTGACTGTATAATCTGGTGAACTGTAAAGTGCCTTGAGATGATGTGTGTTGTGAATTGGCACTTTATAAATAAATTGAATTGAATTGAATTCTGAGCCTTTTCTTTTCTTCTCATACACTTTGTAGACACTTTTTCTCTCACAACCACGGTGAGAAATGTGAGCTTCAATGACTGTCTGAAACCGTAGCTCACCACATATATAGACTGAAAGTGCGCGTGCGCAGAAAAAGAGAGCTAACAGGGCGAGCACGTAGGACGGCCTTAGGCAAACATATCACCAGAATGTTTGACAATTAGGAGGACCACTTATTTAGATGATCCACCCGGAAATAAAAGATCATCTTCTGTACCTTTAAGCAATATAGCACCTGCAGTCACATGGTCCTATTATGGCAATTATAAACAGAGTGCTTTGTTTACTAACAAAAGAAAAACAAAGGATGATGAAAGTCACTTATAATAAACCAATTGTGCATGAAGTCATAGAAACAATCTGATTTCTAGTTTC